GGTGTAACGTGATCTTATTTAAATTGTGCAAATTATGCTTCGCAATTAAGTTGTTAAGTACTATTATTTTGACCCCAACTGTACAGATATATGGTGGCTGTGGTGCATTCCATATGTCATTACATAAGCGACAACAATGTTAACCGTTACTTGGCTTACTAATGAGCCAGAGAAAGAGAGTGACAGAGAGTGACAGAGAGTGCCAGAGAGAGAGAGACGGATGGTGGATGCTGAAAAAAGAATGAGCGCCACGTAAGTAAGCAATCCACGTATCTTTGGATCCGGAAGATCCAGGAGAATCCAGAAGCACGCAAAAGAAATGTGCATATTAAGATAAGAATGCAATGGTCAGCCCGAGGAGCACTTGGAGAACGAAGAACGAGAAGTTTAAAGTTACCGATTGCCCCAAAAGAATGTTTACTGGCATGCATCGTATGTACGTTATGTACTTACATGCACAAAGTCAGTGCAACTGGCCTCCTCCCCCATACCAAGCCATACCATACCATACCATACCCGGGCACAGCAGCTCTAAAGCTCGTCAGTCTGGTTTTCCTCTTCCATTTTCTTTGCTGCCTCCTTTGTGGCATCGCCTTAAGCTCCGAAATGGGTCAATTTAGTGACAAGCGATGGGATGCTATGTGAGATGCAGTGCCACAAGTCTCCCGGCCAAATGACAAGTCTTCGTCTTTAGACGATTGAACTGGTCTGGAGATGTCATATGGTAAGAAAAATATAGTAAAAAGATAGTAAAAAAATATTAAAAATATCACATAATACTGTATACCCCAACATAATTTCATAGGATACATGTAGGTCTTAGACTTAATGCGTTATTCTCTACATTGATTCAAAAATAAATACATAATTTTTAAAAGTAAACCCCCAAATAAGTAATGTTTTTCACCAAATGATATTAATATTTGTACTTATTATTCATTATTTATTTGATATATTTAAAACATAAAGAAATACAAGTGCCATAAGAGAGGAGTTAAGATATTCATCTAGATTTTACATAGATATTTTCTTTATAATTTAATTTTACTACTGCAACCCTTTTTGAAATATCGCTATGAAGCAATCCTAGAATTTAATGTCATGATTTTGAAATTGATTTTAGTTTTTCAAATTTTCCCTTTAATTGGTATATTTGTAAAGGCATCGTATCAATGCGTTGACTGCAGGGGCGATCATGGAGATCAATGCGATCATCAAGCCAGTACAAGACATACTAAACTTGATTGTATAATTGATACCAATAGTGGATATAGCTGTGGCCAATATAAATTTAAAGCACGTTCCTTAAACTCGGAGTGGAATACACCTGATCCCACCAATGATTTATCCAGATGCATACCGAATGACTTAAATATAACCGAGAGTAATCATTGAACATATTTACTGTAATAAATAATTTCACTTTATGAAATTCCAGCTGATATTGAGATATGTTGCGTCTGGTCAAAATCACTTGGATGTCAAATTTTAGTTAAACCTGGCAATGAATACACATGTGGAACATGCAGAAGCTCTAAGGATGTAGAATATGATCATCTAAAGCCTTGTCCTTGCAACCAGGGATCGTCTATCCTAGATTCTAGAGCTTTACACATACTTTACACACTGAAAGGAGCGCTTTTATGGAAATTAAGACTTTAAAACATAAAATAAATATCACATTTTATGTTTCATTCATTTTAAGGAAAATAAAATCAAAATATATATAAAAATAAATCGACAGAAATTACTTTTTTTAATATACATCTATTATGTTTATTATTTTAGTTTCTGTTAGATATTTAATAATCACTTATTTATTCAACAATCATTTATTTAAGTAAAACTTCCCCTAACGGATATTCGCTAAGCACGATAAATACTGTTTACAGGAAATGAATTAAACTATATTATTTTACTTGAAACAGTTTTAAGTTCAAGAACAAAGTTGCAAAGTGAGATAAGAGAAATTCCAGACTGATTGACGGGGGACTTTAGAAAGTCATAATTATAATGTACTTTGTGTGCCTTTATCAACAGGAGATAGTGTGTGTAGTTAAAATACTTTACATATTATTTGAGTCCACCCACCGAGGTAGCCAAAGGTAATCAATTAAGACCAGGAATTATGGGGTCAACTCAAGTCCCACTACTGGTTGGACGTGGGTGCAACTTTATTATACGGCTTAGCATTCAATTTTCTTGATTTTATTGCTGCTGACCAAGAAACAAATAAAGCTAACCATAATCGAGGGGCGGGAACTTCAAGGCGCAAATAAATTAGACCAAGACCGAGTCTTGGGGTCGAGCGGCAGGCTTTATCAATCGAACAATTATGTATATATTTATGTATATATCTGGTGCAGCAAAAGGTTTCTCTGACTCTGCCTCTGCCTCTGTGTTGCACGCAAAACGAGTCACGAACTGAGGCAGGAAAAAGGAACTATTAAACCGGCCAGAGATTGGCAACCAGGCCCAAAAAAGATGACGCCAGTACCAAATAACCAACCGACCGCCTAAACTTATTAATTTAACCCACTTTTTTCGCGCTCGTGTCGCAGCCTAATAAAGCAGCCGAAAGAAAGATTGCCCAAGTAGATCTAGGAAAAGCTTTCAAATAATGGAGACAGGAAAAGAGAGTCTTAGTTGGGTCAACGGAAGGCAAACCATTAAACACAAAAAAAGTGCAACATAAACTTTGTTCAAGTGTTTCGACCATTAAATACCCGTTTATTTAATTAATGCTGGTTTATTTTTCTATAAGAAAATGATTTGGAAAGTTCTAAATTGATAAACTTTAAGAGTGAGCAAATAAATCGTATCATCATATCATCAAACTATCATCATATCCTTAAGGATACATCGTCAGGTCTATATGGTGTCGCCTGGTGATGCTAAGTGATGTTTACCGTTAGCCTTAACTCGTTTACTTGGGATCTATAAAGGATAATTACTATTTAAACCGAGAATCACCAAGATCTTATGTTTATATTTAAATGTGTAGATATGTATAATCATTTGTTTACCTAAGAAACAAGCCAAGAGATTTTATTTGTTGGTTGTCTAGGTCAGGTTCAGAAAAGGCTTTGAACTCAATGTACAATGTAGATTCATATGAACAAAACATATATTAAAGTTATCAAGACTGTTGCTCATTTAGACTATAGTTACAGGAAAGAAAGTCAAGCCAATCTATTAACCTTTCTTTGGAATAATTAAATTACATACTTTTTAAAACAAACTTCATTCATAGATCACACAATGAAAGCAAATAATTGTTTATAATTTTATATATTTAACGTAAGACTTTCCGCAACAACGTAAGCAGAAAGAGACGGAAGCCAGTGAGAGAAGAAACGTAAAGCCTGAGCGAGAGCTGAGCTTAAATTTCACAGCAAGAGTGTGTAGAGAGCGAGTGTGAGCAATTAAGATCTCCTCTCTCCTTGTTTTGAGTGGGAGTGCAGAAAACCAGTTTCTTTCACTCTCCTGCATTACTCTCTTTGTATGTTTTATGCTCTTATGCTGTGCCAGCAACTTTTTTTAATTTAAAAGCCGTTGTCGCGTTTTCCATCGTTTTTTCTTTCTTCTGCTCTTCTGACTACTCCAGTCTATTTTTTTTTTTTGTTTTGATTTTATTTTGTATATGTTGCTGTCTTTTTCGTACAATCAAAACAAATGCGCTTTTCGATCGTTCTCTGTTTTTGTTTTGACTTCTTTGCTGCGTTGTTGTTGCGGTTGATTTTGTGGTTGCTGTTGTACATTTCTTCCTCTTCCTCGTTCACGCAGCTCATTAAACTTTTCACTGCTACTGTTCTTCTGTCGTCGTCGTCGTCGTCTTCTATCCCCTACTCACTCCATCTATACACAGAAAAAAATCGTTTTTAAATGATTTATATACATTTTTAAAGAAATTTTTATTTTATCATTACTGTTTATTCAATGTCTATCTAACGTTTTTCCTTTTTTTTGCTTTTTCGTTCTATAAAATTTCAATTTCTTCTGAATATCACTTATTGCCGGAAGTCCCAAAAAAGTATGCAATGGTTTTATCGAGCAAGAGTCTTGAACTTGGTTTTTCTACTGAATTCAAAACCAAAAATAATCTATATTATAATAATAAAATGTATAATATATATAGTATTTTTGTTTTCTATTAACATATAATATTTAAAATACGGAATATATATATATACATAACTATACTAAGATAAAAGATTTCTTATTCAGTTCATTTCCAAATTAAAATCTAATTTCAGATAATTCTGATACAGATCCAATAAAAAAGATAACTATTTAAACTGATTTTAAAATGTAGATTTCTTACTCATAAATAATAAATAAATCGATACATTTAAATGTAAGTTCTTACATGTAAATATTAAATCTCTCAATTGCAGCTATATTTCTTAAAAATATAAATAACTTTTTGCTTGCCTTACCTAACATCAAAAAAATTATTTCAAAATAAATCAAAGGAGGCTTTTTATTTAACATTATTAAATAATTGAAAACGTCAATAGAAAATTTACAAATAAAATCAGAAGTTTACATACGTTTGCACTGAATAGATCTTTGGATTTTTGTGTACTTTTTTTGTACATTGTAAATTTTTATTATTTGTTTGCCATTGCATAAATAACCGATATTTAGCGTTTCCATAAGACACTCCAAAGTTTTAACAAAATGAAGTAAAAGAACTCTGAGGAACTTAGGAGGAACACTCGCTTATTGAACTCTTGGATGATAACATTATTTTGGACAGTTTACCTGTTTACCTGTTCACTCATTTGTACATACATATATTCAGCTCGATTTTCCTGAGAAATTTTAGCCGTTTTCTTCTTGGTTCCTCCAATGGTTTTCCCTTTTACCACAGGATCTGCAGCATCAATGTTGACCAGCTTTCTTTGCGGTTGTTGAAGACCTTTTAAAGCCGAATACATTTGCAATTGTTTTTGGATCCCTCGAAGGTGTGCTTGAATCCTCCATATATTGTATGTATTATTAATTGTATTATGGAGGAGGACTCAAGCTCACCTTCGAGGGATCCAGAAACAGATATATTCGGTTTTAAAAGGTCTTTAAGAACCGCAAGCAAAGCAGCTCAACATTAATGCTGCAGAACCTATGGGAAAACGGAAAGCCATTAGAGGAACCAAGAAGAATACGTCTAAACTTTCTTGAGGAAATCTAGCTTCATATATGCCTGAATAGGTAAACACGAATGCACGAAAATACTATCCAAAATAATGTCATTATGCAAGAGTTCTATAAGCGTCAGTTCCGCCGTCGAAATCTTTTACGTCAATTGGATTCACACTTTGAAGTTTCTTATGGAGACGCTTAAAATCGTTCAGTTTTCAGGTATTTATGCATTGTCAAGCAAATAATAAAAAAATAAATAAAATTAATTCCAAAAGTCAAAGAAGTATGTAGATTTCTGATTGAATTTAACTTTTCTATTTGTCTTTTTCAATTATTTTATTAATTTGAAATAAGTAAAGTATCCATGGACTACCGAGTTAACAGAAGGTAAGCGCTAGTCAATTTATATTTGTAAGAAATTTAGCTACAATTGAAGAAACTTCCTTTTAAAATCAATTTAAGTTTTGTTTTTTTTTAGTGCATACAAAATAATTAATTTCAATGGCCCGAACTGTTTGGAGCACTCTTTCAATCGTTTTGATAAGATGCCTCGAAACTTGAATTCAAGTTTCTAGCGAACTCCTCAGTTAATTAAAATTAACTTTTCTCAAATGAAACAAGATAATGGTGCCTAATGCATACAGAGTTTCTAAGTTTATTTAAGCGTAAGTTAAAATAAAACGTAATAAGCTGATATAACATAATTCCAGCCTTAAACTAAATTCAATCTTTATTTCAGTATCTCTGAACATGTCTCAAAACAAATTCAAAGGTGGTTATTTTCATTTAACAATCTTCACCGTTAGATTCAAAGCTCCGATAGCCAAGGGAAATCATTTTTTAGTATCTTCTTTAAAGAACCTTTGTGTGTCGAGTAAATTGGGTTAAGCTCAGCCCACAGAATTAAGAGATTTTTTGGGGCTTGTCCGTCTAATTGATACGTCTGCGGTTAAACAAATGTTGGGTGTAATGCTTAATGCTGAAAAATAACTTGGTTTCACTAACTTTTACATTTAAATCATACTCTTTTATAATGTGAAAGTAATCTGATACATACTAGTTGTGAAACTCGTTAAGTTTACTTATGCCAAGTCTGTAGGTTCGGCAACTTCTAGAGGCCTACAAAAATAACACTTAAAGCCTTCAGCTGCGGCACATTTATGCAGATTTGGAACGGTTTAAAGGCAGATATATGAATGTACATATATGTGAACATATCTTATCTGACTGCACCACCCACCCACGCAGGGCCACACACAACACACACACCACACACACACATTGTGTCCACATAAGTTGTGGTACTTTACGGCCAGGCCTGTGTCAATATAGTTATGAAAAGATGCACAGGAAAAAGTCGAACCAAAACATGTTTAAAATTGTATAGAGAAATATTGAATATTTCATTAAAATGGTATATTTTAATTTTGGGTACTTTCTAACTCAAATTTTTAAACCCTTTTCTTGATTTTAAACCACTCAAATTATTATACAGATTATATATATTTTTCTCTGTGCTTTACAGAAGATGTAAACTTGAGGTTGGTGCCGATTTAGAGATGGAATAAGATGCAATAATATAGTATGTGACGCCCCACCAACTCCCTGCCAGCTCCCCGACCATTTAAGAACTTGGCCAAAACCAGTTGGAGATCACGTAAGAAGCGACCGAGAACGACCCACGTCAAAAAGAAAGAAAAAAAGGGACACGGCCGCAATAAATGCAATTGGGAAGACATGGCAGTCAGTTGGTCGATGGGGATCCTATAGGATCCTATATGGAGGATAGGATATGTGCCGTCTGTCACTCCTGACTGAATGGATGCGCGTCGAGTGCGCCGGGTCCATGACAACCTGCAATCAAGCGCCAGCAGGCATATCCAACGGATTGGACCACAAAATCAATACACCGAAAAAAAATTGAGTGTAAAGCGAGTTCTATGGAGTTTTTCCTCAACTCAGTAACAATAAGATTATTACAAAACTTAGTGCTGGAAAATAATACATGTTTTTAAATAGGAACCCCGAGATATCTCAAGATCAGATCTTCATCTCTTACAATTGGTTTTTTCTGTGCATCATCATCATCATCATCAGCTGCATGCAACCGAGCGCGTAGGCCAGGCAACATTCAAGCAATGAGCAGACCTGCAACATGCAACAGACAGCGAACACAACTGCAACAATGCTGCGACATTTGCACGGGCTTTAACTTAAATTATGCGCCAAACAAATAAGGTCTCGCCCAGTACCAACTCTGGAGACCCAGCCCCATAATGATGCCATGAGGCCATCTGCAAGTTCTCTTACTGTTACAACACGCAACAAAAATAAATTTCAAAAACAAAAATACAAATATTATAAATAAATATAATAGATAGATAATGCCTTTATTTGTATATAAGAAACTGTTGTTATAATTAACTTTTATTCTTATAAATCTGTTAAATATGTTTTAATTTCTGTTTATATTTTTTCCAAGTGTAAGACAGTGGCTGGGATGTCGCCAGTTGGCGCAAAGTCACGGTCGCCACAGTTGTCATTTCTTTTGGCTGCAGTGGGGTTCCCCCTCGAGCGGATGGCAGAAACAACAATGCCAGCAACCGCAAGAAACAATTAAGTTGGACCGACACAAAAAGGAGGAAAGCAACGATCAACAAGTCAGTTGGATCAGTGTGCTATATATGCAGACAGCAGCATATTGAGAGGAAGCTAAATAATAATTGCATTCAATTGAAAAGCATTTCAAATTAAAGCCTGAAGTTACTAAAAAAAAATAAAATTCCTTTTTTAAGTTGTAGTAAAGTTATTTCATTCTTTATATTTCTTTTCTAATTCTACCACTCATTTATCTATCATTTCCTTTATTTTTAAAATCCCAGATACGCTAGCAAAGCTAAAAGCAAGAAACTATTATGGAAATAATTTAATTCTTATAGAGTACTTTACTTAGCCCGAAACAATCAATGGCCCCGATAAAATGTCTTATCTGGGACGTCTAACAGTGGGGAACCAGTACCCGGATACCTTTGGATCAAACATCTGCCCCGGCACGAGCCAAGCGTCATTAACAAACTTCTGGATGTGGCAGAGGGCAGCTTTTTTCGATTAAGTGACAGGTTAAATGCTAAACCATAAGTTTTGGCCACAAGCAGCTGGCAATCGCCGAGCACGAGCCACAAAAATTGCAGCCGGCCAAGAGCAGAAGCCAGGAGACTGCACAGTGAAAAAGATTACAGCATCTTGATATTAATTAAAAATTTATTCCTAAGCAGTTTTGGTTAAAAACAAGGGCAACATTTAAAGCTATATTCTCTATTTGAAGTGAAAAACACAGATGATTTGGTTGGTGGTGATATTTTTCCCGGTGCAATGACCGAAGAAGCCAAAAGACAGGAGACAGCACTCGAAACCGGTTCCAATGCTCCCACAGGCACCTTCTGTCCGAGGCCTGACGACGTGCGTCGGGCAACCATTAGTCGCAATCTTTGGGCAATTGTCGCTGATTGTCGTCGTCCGTTCTGCCTTGGGCTCGTTCCCAGATGCAGATGCCCCGATGCAGATGCTTTTCGCAGTGGCAGACACAGTTTTGCGGTTGCAAATGTCGACCGACCTAGCTTGATTAGCTAAAAGTGCGTGCGAAATCCAAATAGGGAAGCTTCTGGGGCAATTGTCGGTCTCATCAATTCATTGAGTTCTACTTGTACCGAAAGGTTTATTTATGTACCTAGAAGAAATAACTATGGCATACAAAAAAATTTATCTTAGCCATAAAATGCCTTTATTAAATATTATTATTCGAAGATTTTCTCTTATTGTAATATTCCAATCTGCAACTTTCTTAAAATGATTTCGAAAAGATAAATGATTTCATACGCAAATACAAATCTATTTGGTTTCGATTTTCTGGATTTTAAATTACGCGCCTACCAGATCTAGGGCTGAAAAATCCATTTCCGCCGAAGAATATGGCAACGCTTATGTCACCAGTGCTTATAAGCCCGTTACGATCCCTTTTTGCTCGGCTTCCGGTTTTCCACAGAAAATTTTGTGTTTTCCATGTTCCACACAGGGTTGCGAACCCAACTTAAGCAATTTTATCCAGGAACCATTTCCTTGTAAAGTATGGCAGCGCCAGTGTCACGAACAATTTGTTATCGATTAAAGTGTGACCAACTGCCGCGAAAAGTGAAATTCCTTAGCTATGTATTTACGTATTTGCAGCTCTAATATAAATGGTTATATTAGCGATTGAATATAATAACAAACCCTGGTAAAAAAAATAAAAAAGAGCGGACAAAAATGCGATCGCGATCGAATGGAGGGCTGGTGAGTGCCCCTGTCAGCACAAGAAGTGGTCGCAGTAGCGCGAACACAGCAGGAACAACAAGAAATCTGACCCGCGGCAGCGTTGGACAGATCAAGACAATAGCAGAGTCTCGCCTCAGTCCCCAGAAGCGCCCGCTCCCGCCAAAATCTGAGTACGAGAAGTTCTACGAAAGCGTCTTTCTGGGCAATGAGGAACAAGCGGTGAGGTAATAATTATATTAATTTATACAATGTTAATATTTGTATAAACTGCAGGAGGAGGAACCAGAAGACCAGGAAGTTAGTACTGGTACCAAGCGACCCCTACATGCTCTGCTAAACGATGAGGACTCACTGGCGGAAATGCAGCGACCTTCAAAGATTCCTGCCGTTAGAAAGACCTCTGAAGTTGTGCAAAATCCAAAGAAGCAAATGATTGCAGCAAAAGACGAGGTTATCCGGCAGATCAATGGCCCCTCATCACCGGTCAAGCAGCCAGCCATCGCCTCGTCAGCGAAGAGTATACACCAGAAGCGGCATGATAGATTCGATCAATTGTACAATAAAACTGAACGCCACACCTGGCAAGACGACGCCATCCAAATGCTGTTGCAGCTGTGGGCACAACACATAAAGGGCTTGCGCGGCACCATGAGGAATACGGTTATCTACAAGGAAATGGAGAAGCAAATGAGCCAATTTGGACCGAGCCACTTTGAGATCAAAACCAAAATGGATAATATGTCTCGAAAATATCGGTAATGAAGCTATAAACGACACCATGTAGAAATCATATACATAATTTATATACGAAACTTTTACAGTGTGGAGGCTGAGAAATATCGAGAAAGCGGAGTGCCATCCAAGTGGCCCTATTTCCACAAAATTCAATCACTATTAATAGGAACCAAGGCCGTCGATGTTTTTGAGGAAATGATGTTTGACACTAATACCGGTAACTATACAAAATGCAATACAAATAAATTAGTCATCAAATGTAATCCCAATCCTATACAGGTGCTTCAAAGTTCTTCGATCAGGATGATTCCGATGATGACGAATTGGAATCGCTGAGAGGGGAATATTTAGCAGAGGATTCCACAGCTAATGATACTCAGTTTGAAGAAGATGTAGAGAACAAGCACAATCTTGAATATCTCTCTAATGAAATCCGTAAAGACAGCCTGCACTCTCCCTCTCCAGTAATACCAGAAGCAGACGATTATGATGATGACGAGGTGGAGAGAGAAGTTGAAGAGCAATTAAACTACAGGGAGGATACACCACAAGCGGAATACATAGTAGACAATCATACGAAGAGGAAGAACGACACTAAGAGACGCACAGATCGAATGCTAGAAATTGAAGAGGAGAAACTGGTTATCGAGCGCGAAAAGCTTAAGGTCATGAAGGAGGCATTGCAAGAGCTGTCCGCATTCCACAAAGATCTAATGAAGTTGATAAGAACCAGAAAGTAAATGTTATGTTTCACCTATGTATCTATAAATATATTTCATAATATGCTTAAGAAGTAATGTTAGAATTGTTTTCAGACTATATTAAACTAAGATAAAATTAATAAAAAAAAAAATGTAATAAAAATGAAGCCTCTCAAAATTTTTCGATGGTTAAATTGCCTGTTGAACCATATACATACATATTTATACCTCTTCAGGGTATTATAAAGTTAGTCAGAATCATATACAGTATATATATTCTTGATCAGCATTAATAACTAAGCAATGCCATTCTGTCTGATTATAAGCAGACTAGTCCCTCAGTTTTAAAGCTACCGTAATGAAACTTCGCAGTTAGCCTTCTATATACTCTCACTCGTATACGTCGTCGAAACGGGCTAGATCGGACTACTATATCGTATAGCTGCCATAGGAACGATCGGAATATTTTTAGAAAATAATTTATAACTTTTCCATTTTTTAACTTATTTTCATAAAATTTTAGTAAAAGCCATATTTTATTATTCTATAATATTGGTTTTAATTTGATTCAAATCCGATTACTATATCATATGGCTGCCATAGGAACGATCGGAAACTATTTAGAAAATAATCTATAACTTTTCTATTCTTCAACATTTTTTCATAAAATTTGAGGTAAAGATATATTTTATTATTTTATAATTTTGGTGTAAATTTGATTAAGATCGGACAACTATATCATAGAACCGATCGTTAAACGTTTTGGAGACAAAAAACTGCAAGTGGAAGACTATACATTTCATACGTATTGGCGAACGATTTGGAAGTAGGCAATACATTTTTTAACAGATTTATAAATAATTTATGGTCTAAATGCAATCTGCAAGGGTATAGGTTACTTTATTTTTTAATTTGATTTCAGTTTAATAATAAAAACAATATTTAATTTCAGTTTATTTTTCGACCCAGTGCTTGTTCACGGGCTAAGGGCTGCCAACTTGCTATCTCAATGGAACGACGAGGGCTGCATTTGCTTGTTATTGTTTAGTTTTTTACTTTCAACCTAAGCGGAATGATTGAAGCGGCGTCGCTACAAAATCATCCAAAAGAATCCAGGAACGAGATCTTGGTGAAGATCCTTAGCGGCGAGTACTGGTTGCTGCGAAGACATGAGCGCAGCACCGTATGGCAGGTCTACCGACAGATCGTCCGCTCCGATGGAACCAAGTTGCGGGATTACTACCTTTGCACTGGCTGTAAGCGTCTCATGACATCCACCGATACCTCCAGCCTGCGCTCCCACACCTGTCATGTGAAGTACTTGCAACAGAGAGCCAGTGCCAGGGCGCAAGATTTGGAACAAAAGGTATGTCCGTCCCAAATCCCAGTCACATGAGTTTGAAAAAGTCTCTTACCGGCAGTGAATCAACTATGCTAGGTCAGGAAGCATTCCGGCCATCACATCCATTGGTCCTACAGAGCAACCAAGACGCTGCTTGAGCTGTGGGAAAACAACATAGAACATTTGCAAAGTGGTCCCACGAGCCAGGCCCAAATATTACGTGAAATCGCCAAAGAGATGTATCACTTGGGCTTGAAGCCGTCTGACATTAAAATCAAAATGGATAATCTTAGGGATCGTTATAGGTAAGAAACTTACCATACAAAAAGTAGGAAATCTTTAATCTATGATGTACATATGCACATTACAGCCGCGAAGCCGAACGGCAGAAAGTTTCCGGACGGCCGTCCAAGTGGCCACACTTTCATGAACTCCAAAAGTTACTCAATGCCTTGGAGGAAACTACTCCTTCCAGTAATTCTGTAAAGGAAGAAAATCGCTCCCCGGATATGGAAACAGATGGGTCAATAGCGGAGGATGAGGTTCAAGATGTTATTGAAGCATTGCCTTCTCTGGAAACCTACGAAGAGGAGCTCGATCAACAGCACTCGCCACCCAAGCACATGTATGAGGCTGAGCGCGGGAAGGCTAAGCGGTTTATGGCTATCCGGGAGGAAAGACTGGCTTTAAAAAAGGAAAATTTTAAGAATTTTCAGTCTTTTATGAAAGAAATTATGACGTATAACAAAAACCTCTGCCAGGTGCTTTGTGACGACGAATAGAATAACTCATTTAAAATTAAGAATTGCTTTAGTTTATAAGCAGATAAATAATTAAACCAATGAAATAAGTTTTGTAATTGTAAATTTCCTAGTTCTATTTCGCCAGACCGCAGTCGGGTTAATGTTGTGATTGTGTAGCCCTGGTGTACCGGTGCTGCCAACTCGGTGAACGCCATCGCGGTTGAATTTGCCATGAGCGTCAACATTGGGAGCAGAAATATGTTTATAATAAATGCTCCCGACGAGGAGGAGAAGTGCACCGAAGCACAGCTGGACATTCTGCTCAAGATCAACACGGGCGAGTACAGGCTGGTGAAGAAGAACAAGCGCAGCTCCGTGTGGAACGTCTATCGGGAAATTGCCCGCTCCGATGGAACGAAGCTGAAGTGGCGCTACTTTTGCCTGGGCTGCAAGCGGGTTATGCAGTCTTCTGGCGGCACCACCTCCAATCTGCGCATCCACAAGTGCCATGTGCGATATCTTAAGCAAAATGGTGGAAGTCGGAGTCCCTCTGGCGACGCCTCTTACCGCTCTCCTTCTCCCCGCGCAGCACCAGCAGCATCACAGACGCCACGCAGCCAGCAGAGTACCGAGCAGCGAGCACCGGTGGCAATGGTCAGGAGAGCACCAAACTTTGCATCACAGTTTGAGCAGCTTTACGAAGTCAGACCGAATACGCTTAAAAAGTACACCGACATGGAGGACGATACGGAAGAGAGTCATCTGGAGGAAGAAGCGGATGACGCAGACCAGATTGTAAGTGCGACGTCCAGATCAGCAGAATCACCTTCATATATTTCAATCCACAGATCGAATCTGAGCGCATCCTGGAGCCCACGTCCTCGCCACCCAAGCCACGCCCCTTGTTAAAACTCTTTTCGGAGGACTCATGGTCTTGTGAGCCGGAACTGGACCCAGAAGAGCCAGAAGAGTCCGTGCTGGATGAACAGACGCCGATTGAACTCGACCACAACGACATCCAGCAGAAGCCTGTGGACGATTACAAGGAGGAGATACTCCAGCCGAAGACACTAGCAACTAACAACCAATTCAATGCCAGCGCCCTTTCCGAAGCGGAATGCTATGCCAAATCCTGGGCACATGCCTTTCTGCGTCTGAGCGATGAGCAAAAGTTCTACGCGAAGCGATCCATAGACGAACTTCTAGTCCTGGGGCGGCTGGAGAAACTTAGCATTTCGACGGTGACATCGTTAACAACAAACTTGTAGCAATATAGTATAATATAAATATCGTAAATATCCTATATCCCTAGCCTAAGACATCCTCATTTCATTTTTTACTTTAAGCTAAAACGTACTTTTAAGTTAGTAAAGACTTTTAACTTTGTAAACTATCCAAACCAAAAAATCTTGATTTTTAAAGCAATAAATTCTTAAAATTTGTTTTAAATTGTAAACTGTTCAATTAAGTTTTAAACAAGGAAACTGACTTCGAAGTTTGCATTAAATTACAGGATTGAATCTAAAATCGATCTTAACTAAGCTAAAAATATTTAATTTACTTATCAAAGTTTCTAAATCTCATAAATATGCCTAAAATTTATTAATTTCAATTCGAAAAGGTTTTCTATGCTAGTTTTTATTAACAAATTTGCATACTTAATTAAAAATTTTTAGAAGTTTTTGAAAAAATGACGATGTAACCCCTTAATCTTTTTTTGAATAAATTTGAACCATTTATTTTTCAGCCGGACCTAGCTAGGTCGACTCGGATTTTGATGCTGATCACTATTTCACACCTTTACAAGCTTCTGACTAAAATTAAAATATCCTGGAACGGCATTATTTGGTAATACTGTATAAATTCGATGAAAACATCGATGTTTCTCAAATTTTATAAGTCGTTATGAAAAGGATATACAAACTTCGGAACATTTCCACAAGCTATGACACAAAATTCAGAAAATCGCCTTTTAAAGAAAATACTTAACTAAGCTCAAAATAAACTACTACAAATTTGTTTTTCAATTTTTTATTTTTTCCAATACGTTTTTAAAGTTTTTTTTTTAAATTTTCTTTTGGTTGCCATCTTGCATTTGTTGTATATATTTTTTGCTTTGCTTTTACAGTTTTTTTTTGTTTGTTTGCTGTGAATTACATTTCTTCATCATTCTTGTTGTGGTTTTTTTTCTGCTTTGCTTTGATGCTTGATACATTAAGTCGCCTGTTCTGGTAGTTTTCTTTCTTTCTTTCGGATGAAATTGATGTATAAATGGGAAAAGATGTGGTTTGTGTGTGGATATACATTTTTAATCATATCTTTAATACGAGAAACTTAGAGTTACAACGCTACAACAACGTTCGAGGATATCCAAAATAAATTAATTTTTAAATAAACAATAAGTTAAATTTGGACTGAGAGCTGATTATAAGTTAATTATCAAGACCAAGGCGTATTTAAATTTATTATTATTTTTTTATCGCTGTTGTGTTTCATATATAATAAAATTCGACAGACATGATAGAATTGGTTTAGAATTTGATACGACATTTCCAAGTGACAGCTGTGTTGTTGGATGTTGCATTCATTTCACCCTATGAAACAAGACAAAAAGCATAAACAAACCGAAAAAAAGACGCGGTGGCCCATTTAAGCTAACTCTGATGGTATTGGTTGCTCATCTTCTAAATTGCAGCGGTTGTTGTTTATTGTTATTGATGATGTTGCGAATGCTGCGCTTCTGATGCTGCTGCTACTGCTGATATTTCGGGCGGTGCGACTGGGTCCATCCTAAGCAGTGCTCTCTGTGGTTGTATTTTGCAGTTCTTGAGCGCCATTCTAGGGGTTTCGTAGTGAACAATTTGTTGGGTAAAATATAAGGATAAATAAACAAACATACAATAAAATCAAACGTTTAAACTAAAATCAGAGAAAAAGCCTCTCGAGTGTTAAGGTTTCCCTTTTCCCTTTGTTAATAGTTTCTTTTAGAGTGCGACAGTGGTTGTTAGGTTGGTTAATTATGCATTTTTAGTTTGTTATTTTCTTAAATTCTCAAGTGTGACCACCACCCTGCTTGTTATTGTAGATACTGTTGCCGTTGTTGTTGTGGTTGTTAAGTTTGCCGCAGATGCTGTGTTATCGTAGTATTTCATGTGTTTTGCTTTGGCAAAGAGATGTTTCAAGTTGTTCTCCTGTCGTGTGATTAGTTCATTACCTGCTGTGGCGGCTGCTGTTCCAAACCACCGCCAGGGCCATTCGGTTTCCGATTCTGGCGACGTGGACGTGGCTGTTGAGGGCGTGGTGGTCCCTGCTGGCCTTGAACTAAAATAAAATAGAATAAATGAATATTAAATTAGTTTAAATCGATATTAAGCTAATAATTTTGCCAGGAAATGGTTAATCCATAGCTCAATTAATACTTACTATATTCGCCGCCATCGCGACGTGGTGGCGGTGGTCCATTATTGTAATTGCGCCGGAAGAAGCGCCTCTGGGGTCCACCCGGTGGTCCGCCACCCCGACGCGGTCCTTGTCCTTCACCCCGCTGCAGGCCTTCCTGATTCTGATCCAGTCCGGGTTCGGCACTGCTGCCATCACCGCCGCCCAGGCCGCGTCGTGGTTGGCGCGGATAGTAGTTGTTGTAGCGGCGTGGGCCACCGGGAGGACCACCCGGGCCACCCGGACCTCGGGGTCCACCGCGTGGTGGTCCACCCGGGGGTCCACCGCCGGGCGGGCCGCGACGGAAGTTCTGGCGTGGTTGGCGCGGGCCAGACTGCAGCTGCTGCGGCTGCCCGTCAACGGACGGCGGCTGTTGCTGCTGCTGTTGGACCGGCGACGCCAGCTCGTCGCCTTCGTCTCCCTGGCCGGGCTCCTTGCGGCGGTTCTTCTTCATCCAGGGGCGGAAGTTTCGTCGCTTGTCCGCAGCGAACTGACTGCCCCTCACCGGCTCGCCCGATGGTCCGGTCACATTGGCTGCCTCATTGCCCTTCTCGCCAATGACTACGTCGAACTCAACGACCTCACCATCGCCCACCGAGCGGACTGCCTTCTTCGGATTGTTACGGGCAATAGCACTCTGGTGCACGAAGACGTCCTCTTTGGTGTCGTTGCGATTGATGAAGCCATAGCCGCTCTTCACGTTGAACCACTTGACGGTGCCGGTGACTTTGGTGGCTGCAAATTAATGAAATAGTTAATAAGGACTTTTAAAAAGGGGCTTTTGGTTGGCATTAATAAAGTTATAATAGATCGATATTTGTGCAATAAATCGATATTCTGTTGATATATCGAAGACTTGAAAATAAGTCAGCTGTGAAAGTCATGTGCCATGTGATCATGTGATCAAAACAAACAAAAATCCGCAGAGGTGAGAATATGTTTTTTTAGGGCATGTTTAAAATTTAAATCCTTATTAAAATTTCGGCCTTTAAGAAACCACTGTCTTTGGTTCTAAAATAACGGAAATACACCCAGCAACGTTTTGAATAAGTTTTCAATTATTTTAAGCATTGGTTCATTAATCGTGTATCATTACTGCTACCAAAAAATATGATTTAATGAAGGAATATCCAAGGATCCGATCCTATTCGATCGTCTTTAAACCCGAGCACAAGCACATGCTGCCTTGCTGCCGCTTTGCGAGTGTGTGTACAAATAAATGTACCAAAACAATGAACACACACAACCGGCGCGCCATCCCGCTCGCACCCACGCTGCGCGCGCACCAACAAATTGGGTTGCTCTAGCCGTGTGTGGGCGGGGGAGGTGCGCCGCCGCCGCCGATGAGGGGGTGGGTGGAGATGGAAAAAGGCCAGACCGGCAAAAGGCAGAATTTTCATTTCGTTTGCCGGCGGCATGAACACTCGCTCATACATATATATGTATGCGCCTTTTGCCGCACAAAATGGCCGACGCGCGTATATTTTAAGACCCAAACACACACACACGCACACACGCTCTTACAGGCATGTTTCTTCTTTTTTTCGTTCCTTTCATTGCTATTTTGGTAGCACCAGCCGCCGCCATGTGTTCGCGTATGAATGAAAGGGGGACTGCGATTGGGATTGGGACACGGATCGGGTGCACTGCACACTCGATGGCTTACCGATGACTTCCTTCGGCGGCGGAGCGGGCTTGCCCTGCTGTCCCTGCAGCTGCTGCTCGTCCTGCGGCTCATGCTCCAGATCCTCCGGCAGACTCTGCTGCTGCTGCTGCTCCGGCTGCTGCTGTTGCTGTTCAGCGGCCAGCGGCTTATTCTCAGCATCGGCCATCGCTCACTCTCAGTTGTTGGTTAAAAACGAAAAGCGGGAAAAGCAAAAGGCCGTTGTTGTTGCTGCTGCTGGTGTTGTTGTGTGGATGCGAGTGCCGCAACAAATTGTCCGTTTCCCTGCTGTTCTTCGGGGTGTCTGCTGCGCTCGGTCGCAGTCGGTGGCGTTCACTCTCAACTGCCACTACCACTTCTGATGTTGTTTTTGAGTGTGATCTTAAACACTCGCCACTCGCAGGGTTTTCTTTTTTGGATTTTATTTTGTTCGCTCCGGAAGTGAAACTTGACAGCCAGCGCCAGGGCTGCTTGGGGCCTATCGATAGTGTTCGGCCACAACTTGGGTCGTATCGATATATATCGATTGTCCCATCGCTAAAGTGGCTGTTAATGATTTTGAATATATTTAAATTACAAAGTTTTATTATTGAAGATATCAAGCATTATTAATTGGCTTTATTATCGATGCTAAAATGAGTTAGTTGGTTAGATAGAAGACAAAAGGGGTATAGAAACATATAACATATCTTTTTAGACACGGTGCACAAATATTTTATGTGGTAGTCAAAATTTGTGGTATAGTCTCTGCTAAAGTTCGAGTGGTTCTTCACTTCCAAAAATGATGAACCTGCTCCAAGGCGAATCCTACACAGCTTAGGCCAATACCCACGAACCAGAGATAGAAGGCTCCCTGCAGTATATCCAGGGTGAGGACCACCCGCTTCTTGCGGCGCACAGCCGGCTCAGTGGCCGCTGGATCCAAGTCAGTCTGGTCCCCCAAGTCCTCGTAGAACTCCTCAGCATTCGGCGAAGTCCCATCCCGGGAAAGCAGATCCATCTGGCGCCAGTGCTCGAAGAAGCCGTGTTCGTGATAGCCGGTAAACAGCGTTTGAATGCGATGCAGGAAAGGCGATCCGCGAGGCAAAATGTAGGTGCACAGCATGGATCGCAGGTACTCCTTGACGATGTGGTAGGCCGGTCGCTCCGCCTGGGCATTGTAGGTGAGGGCCAGGAAGTCCCTGGCGTGGAAGTCGCGCATGATAAAGGCCGACCGTCTGTCCCGCCGGCTGAGGTGGAGCTGGTAGTAGGAGCTGGACAATCCGAGGGGCAGCTGGCGACTCCGGCTCTCTAGCAGGCGGTATAGGTCTTCAGAGAGTGTGGCCCGCACCGCTTCGTACATGGTAGTCACAGAGTAAATACGGACGTCCAGCTGTCCGAGGCCCTCCAGCTGGTCCAGTTGCGCCTCATAGCTGGGACGCACAAAGCCAGACTCCAGCTTGGCAAAGTAAATGGTGGTGAGGACGTAGCTAAAGAGGATCCAACCCATGAGGAAGGTGCGCATCGAGCTGAACGAGGAAAGCCGGTTCGCCGGCTCTCCGACGTGCGTCTTGCAGAACATCTCGAGAATCTCATACCAGGTGGCCTCGAACTGTATGACACCCCTACGGGGTACTCGCTTTTGGAGGCGCTGCATAAGCCAGAAGATCAGCACCACTATCAAGAGGGTGACCAGAAGCAGGTGCCACACGGAGCGCCGGAAGACGTGCACGAATATCAGGTACTCTGGCTGAATCCCAGAAGCCGGGACCACCAGGTACAGGATGCGACGGGTTTGCGGATACAGCACCTCCACCTCTGGCCAGATGCAGTCCAAAACGAAGCGAGAATTTGGTCCAAAGTGGGTGTGACCGCTGACCAGATCCTTGACCGCACCCGTGTAATTTCCGCCTGGCAGGCAGCGTCCGTAGGACTCATTGTCCTCTGGTAATACATAGGTTACCGTGGCATTCAGCATCCGGGCAGTAACCCGAGCAGCCACACCATCCACTGCCTTGTAACCAGCAGTCTCCACGGGATACCTGGGTATCGCAATCAGAGGATCTGCGAACATGGAGAAGCGCAGTGGATAACCCCTTAAATTCCCCATCTTATCGGGATAGAGTAAGCCCTCTCCCGTTCGCTGTACCACCTGGAGACCCCCAAGGGCAAAGGGATCAAAGTCAAAGATGCCATTATCCCTGCTAGTGATGGCCAGTCCGTAAAGCAATTGCTTGGTCCAGCAACTACGGAAGAGATCTAGGAGTTGATCCTGCCCAGCATCGGGCCAGATAAATAGGTACTTATGCAGATGTTTCCTTGGCTGTCGAGGATTGAGCATGTCCATGATGCGACGAACTAGGGAATCCCCCCTTTTGCCAGCTGGTATGTGAAAGATACTCAAGCTGTCCGTGTTGCGAAGCGGCTCCATCTCGTGGCTTTCAACATTCCGGGTGACCACGGGCAGTTTGCTGCCCACACAGCGATGCAGCTCCAACTCCAGAGCGGAGTGACCCGGATCCAAGGCACCCGGACAGCTGGAACAGCGATACAAATAGGTGATCTGAACATTTTGCTTCACGGCCAGAGGACAGGCAATCCCGGCCAGCGAACAAATCCCGGACAGAGAGTTTAGCCACAGCCAAAGCCAGAGCAGGGAAGTAACCGAAGACACCATTTCCTCAAAGGCAACTAACCCTGTTCCTTTAGACGGAGAGCCGGCAACAACCTGTGGCCCTAGTCCCTGGAGTGTCGTAATCCCCAATTACGACCCCAGGCATTGCGTGAGTGGCTCGTTACTGCCCAATATTGGGCAAACGTTTGAGTTAACAAAGTTAATAAAATTATTAATTCAAATAAGTATATATTCGCAGTATCATCCTATATGCAGTATTGATTAGAAACTGAAACACCTGAACTAAGTTAGGGGTTAATTAATACGTAAGTTGATAAGCTGTTGTTTTGTGCTGAATCTGAAGATTCCTGTTTGTATACCCTTCCAAGGAGGGTATTCCAATGTTAGTCAGAATCTTGTTACGCTGCGAAGGAACCATTTCCGACCCTATAAATCATATATATTCTTGATCATCATCAACAGTAGAATCGATCTAGCCATCTCAGAGTAAAATACAATTTTCACCAAGTTTTTTTATGTACATCGTTAGAATATTAAAAAAATGTAAGCAAATTAAAAATAAATAGAGTATGCAGATTTGTTAACCTAAAAAAAAAATAGCACCGAAAAGCTTTCCGAATTAAAATAAATCCTTTTTTGGATTAGTTATGAGTATTTTAAATTTTGACTTGTCGAATATATTGTCAGGTGCGATTTCATTATTTCCACCATTATTATTATTATTTATTAATTATTTTACTTAAATCTAATATTGTAATATGATAGCAAAGTAATAAATAAATAAATATTTTAATTATTGAGAATATATAGGTTTCTTAAAGATATATATTTTAATAAAAACAATGAGTCATAGGAACAGATGCGTTTCGCTATATTCTAGATTAAACTACGACTATGGTTCATGTCCCTTGTTCTTTGTTGTCTATTTTTTGTTCTTTTTGTTGTTCCAGCCAAATATTACCATAAATATTTTGCATTTTTTAAATATTTTTAGCTTGGTTTTGATAATGTTGCGCCTGACTGACGACCCATCGATGCAACAACAAAGGCAACTAACTGCATGCCTGATAAGCATCAAGGTGCTGCCTAGTAACACCTCAATTTCCAGGTGATAATCCCATTCTGCACATAATGTAAATTGCTTACAAAGCAAATTCAGAAAAAAAGGCCTGTCATTTCTAGACAGGTTAAATAATACGTTATATATTTAAATCTGTTGTAGGTCGAAATAAAAAACAATATAATATATTTAAATCTGTTTTATTTTGTTGGTTGATTTTAATCAAATGTAGAAAATGCTGGAAACTGATAGAAATAATTGTGATATAAACATTCCGCTTAAAAATCTATTTATTATGAAATAAATTTAAATAAAAATAATGTTTAACTTATGAAATGTTTCTGAAACTAACTAACTAACTAACTAACTTGTTCGCTCAAAATTAAACTATCGTATTAAGGGTAATGACCACTAAAAATCCAATAATTCTAATAATTCCTATAATTTTCTAGCTCACATCATGTTTTTCCAATTGCTGGAAGTTCCATCATGAGGACAAAGTCTTTTAGAATTTAGATAATGATTTTAGCTATATGCAGCATACGGGGACAACATCTATTTGGGGCTTATCGCCTGCAATTCTGGCTGCAGTCAGAGGGCTCATAATGTTGGGGTCGAGCAGATCCGGCGCAGTGTCAAGGCTGCGGCTGCGACCGGCCGTTGCCCGGACTGCAATCTTCCGAGCTGTCGAGAGTGCCAGATCCCATAGCTGGCTGGCTTGGGTATAAATACGGCTCGGCAGCAGTGCAGCAGTATGATTCGACATGATGAAGTCGTTGACGGCGATCGCAGTTATTACGGTGGCTCTGCTGGCCGGTGTCCAGGCCAAGCACCTGGAATCCAAGGTGGCCGACAAGGACTTTCTGGTCAAGCAGAAGTTCGTCTTTGAGGTGCTGCAGCACATCTATCAGGATGATGTGTTCGTGAGTCACTACCCTGCCACCTTCGTGGAGTACAAGCCCTGGGAGCATGTGAGCGACTATGTCCACCCAGAGATGCTGGAGCACTTCTTCGAGCTGTGGGAGCATCATCCCTTCCACGACGACCAGCCGTGGTCGGTGATGTACGAGAAGCACGAAGAGTATGTCGTTGGACTGGTGCGTCTCTTCTACTTCGCCAAGAACTGGGAGACCTTCCAGCATGCCGTCTTCTGGGCCCGTCAGCACGTGAACAAGCAGATGTTCGTGTATGCCTTCACCATTGCCACTCTCTTCCGCGACGATATGCAGGGAGTTGTTATGCCTGCCCACTACGAAATCCACCCCTGGTCCTTCTTCGACAGCCAGGCCCTGGAGTGGGCCGAGCACTACAAGATGCACGGCTTCCACCATGTCAAGCAGATGGACAACATCTACAACGTGGTGATCAAGGCTAACTACTCGAATGTCCACGGATCCCTAAACTACGATCACGATCTGGCCTACTACCTGGAGGATGTCGGCTTCAATGCTTTCTACTACTACTTCAACTTGGACTACCCCTTCTGGACCAAGGGCGGCGAGGAGCATGTCCTGAACAAGGATCGTCGCGGTGAGCTCTACCTGTACGTTCACTGGCAGTTGCTGGCCCGCTGGTACATGGAGCGTCTCTCCCACGACCTTGGCGAGGTCCCCGCCTTCAATATGTATGTGCCAACCGAGTCCGGTTATGCCAGCAACCTGCGTAGCTACTACGGAGTGCCCCAGTGGCATCGCGAGAACCACCATAGCTTCTACCACGGTGACAACTTCGAGCACATTGAGCACGTCGAGATGTACACGCAGCGAGTGATGGACTGGATCCACAAGAACGACAAGTTCGATATGGAGACCATCAACGTTCTGGGCAACATCATCCAGGGTAATGCCGACAGTGTGGACAAGAAGTTCTACGGCAGTCTGGACAAGCTGTACCGCTACATTGTGAACGAGGGACACCACTACGGACATGGCGATGAGAGCTTCCCCGGCCTGTTCATGCACTACGAAACCTCCCTGCGCGATCCCATCTTCTACGAGGTGTACAAGACCCTGGTGAGCCACTACTGGCATCTGATGGAGACCTATCCCGAGTACAAGAAGCACGACTATACCTTCGAGGGCGTCAAGATCGATGCCGTGCACATGCCCGAGAGCCTGACCACCTACTTTGAGTACTTCGATTCCGACATCAGCAACGCTGTGAATGTGGAGCCAGCTGTGGAGGGTGCCACCGATCCGTTGTACAACTTCGGACGCAACTCCCACTACAAGGGTTCCAGCTACGTGATCAAGGCCCGCCAGCAGCGCCTCAACCACAAGCCCTTCGAGTTCACCCTGGACGTGACCTCCGACAAGGCCCAGGACGCCATTGTCAAGGTCTTCATCGGTCCCAAGCACGACGAGCACGGACACTTCATTCCTCTGGAGCACAACTACCAGAACTTCTTCGAGCTGGAGCACTTCAAGGTCCACCTTGAGGCTGGCGTTAACCACATCAAGCGAGCCAGCGGTGACTTCTCCTTCTGGGTGAACGATCGCACCACCTACCTAGAGCTCTACCAGAAGCTGATGGATGCCTCCAACAGCGACTACAAGTTCAAGCTTGACATGTCGGAGGCCCACTGCGGTGTGCCCAACAGGATGATGCTGCCCCGCGGCAAGAAGGGCGGTCAGATGTACCAGTTCTTCTACATGGTCTATCCCTATCACCAGCCCACGGTGGCTCAGTTCACCGGCTACGATCCGGTGGTCAGCTGCGGCGTCGGACACGGCTCCCGCTACGTGGACGCCCTGCCCTTCGGCTTCCCCTTCAACCGACCGGTGAAGCACGACTACTACTTCGATGTGCACAACTTCAAGTTCGTGGACGTCAAGATCTTCCATCGCGACGAGCACACCAATGTTGTGTAAGCTTCATATCGAATAACGAACGAACGAACGGAAATGGATCCCTACATGTATCTTTGTCCACACTTCCCCCCATAGAAGCAGTAATTTAATTCAGTTTTCCTTTACTTGTCAGTCCTCCCTGTGACCATTTAACAATAAACGTATCCGAAAACCACATGTATAGTTTGCTTAATTTTATTTTTTTATTTTACCTATTAAGCTTCACAGCATTATAAGCATATAAACTAAAAATGCATTGAATTTTGATCAGTTGTGTGAAACAACAGGAAAACTCAAATCATTACAAAATAAAAATGCCCAAAATAGAAAACACCCAATAAAGTTGATTGATTTTAAGAAATTCTCTTCCATGACGAGTACGCCAAACATTTGAAATTCAAATATTCTTAGCGCTTAAACCTGTATCGATTAAAATACTGACGCAGCATTCGATGTATCGATATTGTACTAAGTTGACTTATCTCTAGAAAAAATTACAAACATCGATTAAAAACTAACGCAGCATTCGATGTATCGATATTATACTAAAAGGGTCGACCCACCTTTTGGAAAGCACAAACATCGATTTAAAAACTCACGCAGTTTTCGATTTATCGATACTATACCAAGTGGGACGACCCGTCTCTAGAAAAAAGCACAAACATCGATTAAAAACTCACGCAGCATTCGATGCATCGATATTATGCGAAGTGGGTTTACCCATCTCCAAAAAAAAACGCAATTAGTTTTTGTTCTTGTTTTGTCGCTGCATCATCAATTGTTTATATTTCTTCAAAAGTTACCCAATAAGCAATTGTAACAGTCATGAACAACAATAAGTGTTAAACAATAACAATGGCCAGCAATAAACAATTGCTCTGCACCAACTAAATAACAAAATAGTTATGGATAAAACAACACAAAAGTGAACTAAACCCTCAAAAAAGGTGATAAATGTGTGATTATGATGATAGTGCCGTATAGATAAGCAACTAAGCAACATATTTTCGCGGAAAAGCCAACAACAGTTATCATCCCATAGCTGGAAAACTCTGTGCGGTGTCCAAAGGCTGATGTGGCGTCACAATAACATCGTATGATTCCGGTCTCGTTCTCCGATTGGCTGAAAGCCCTCTCGTATGTGCTTCTCCGCTCGCGTGTGTTTGTGTTATGGGTACAGTGGTTGGGGGGCTATTAAAATAGATGCGAAGATTGTGAAATATTTGAATTAAGGAAAACTGAGGGAATGTAACCCCTTTAATACGAAAAAAAACATACCAAATATTAAATTATTATTAAATAGTAAAATAACAGTTTTTAAAATTGACCCAATCAGTGTTTATTTTTTTGTAATCAACAATCGCATGTGTGTCCCACTGTTGTTTTCGCTGTGTAAATTGCGCCGCTCAGAATATTCTATTGCTTAAACTCAAGATTAATAATAAACAAACCAGCAATTACACAACATCTGTATTGTTTTCATCAGCAGCAAGAGCAGAGCATAAACAATGGACGCGCCTCCGAATCCAATGGATTTCATGGACGAGTCAATGGACTTGTTCAAGGCGGAGGATGCCTTTGACATGATCAACGAGGTCCTGCACTCGGACATACTGGATAGCTTCCTCAATGAAATGGACCTGGAGCCGGCACACATGTACAGCAACATGCTACACATGGATAACCCGCAGATGGACCAGTCGGCACATGTGAAAAGCGAGCATTCCTCCCCGTTCATATCCATCCCGTTCACATCAAGGAGGAGATGCAGCAGCAGCAGCAGCAACCATCCTTGCCCATCTACAAGCCGGATCCCCTAATGGCCTCCAACTACAATCTCTCCCCACAGCAGCACCAGCAGCAGCAACAACAACAGCAGCCGCTGCTGAAATCCGCCCAGCCCACGGCAACTATCCACCATAAGGATGCCCAACGGATGCCTCCCAACACTCCGCTTTATTCGCCCGCTTTGGCCAGTGGTTTTACCTACCAGGCTGCCTCCCCGCCCACGCCGCCGGCAGAGAAGTCACCACAGAATGTGAATGTCATGCAACCGATAGCACCTTCAACCCCTCTGACCCTGCCGCCACAGACACAGTCCTTCATCATGTACGCCCAGCCGCTGCCAACAAGTCCGGGATTGTTAAGTGCTGCTACCCCAATGCTGTTGGAATCCATGACGGAGCCAAAGATGACAACTGTGGCCAGTCCTAAGACCTCACCGCCGATGGCGTCGCCGCATTCCAGCTCGGGCGGGAGTAGAGCCAGCAAGGTGCGAGTAGCACCGCTGGCCCCATTGCCCAACGCTGCTCCAGAGGTACTTGGAAAGGTGCCCATCACCCGGGCGCAACCTAAGGTCAAGGAGGTGAAGAGATCCGCTCATAACGCCATCGAGCGGCGTTATCGTACCTCCATCAATGACAAGATCAATGAGCTGAAAAACCTGGTGGTAGGAGAGCAGGCGAAGCTGAACAAGTCTGCAGTGCTCCGCAAGTCGATCGACAAGATCCGAGACCTGCAGCGCCAGACTCACGAATTGAAGGCAGAGCTACAACACCTGCAGCGGCAGCTAATGGCCCGCGACGGTTCCAAGGTCAAGGATCTACTCCAGCTGGGCTCCCGGCCGGGCCGAAGCTCCAAAAAGCGTCGCGAGAGCTCACTGACCTCCGCCACCGATGCCGGACTGACGCCGCCACGTAGCGACGTGTCGGATCCCTCTCTATCGCCCCTACACTCGGACATCTCTTTGCCGCCGTCGCCTTATGGTGGATCCACCGCCAGCTGCAGCAGTGGCAGCAGCAGCAAGGACGAGCTACTGGTGGTGCCTAGTTCAATGCGTGGCATGGCAACGCACTCACGACTGGGCTTGTGTATTTTTATGTTTGCCATTTTGGCAGTCAATCCCTTTAAGACGTTCCTTCAGCGCGGACCGTTCGCCGGTAATGGACTTAACGATGACGACCTTGGCGAATTGAGTGGCCAAAGGCGAAGCATTCTTTCATACGACGTGGATGGAGGTGGGTTTTCATGAATAGTAATTGATTGCTTGATTGTAATAATTGAATGTTTGTCTTTAACTTATGTCAGGTGACGGCTTTTTTGGATGGCAACATAGCTCCTGGATATGGCTTCTGAACCTGACTCTGATGCTTGGCTGCCTAGTGAAACTGCTGGTCTACGGCGATCCGCAGTTGGATCCCCAGACGGACGCTTACTGGCAACACAAACAACGCGCTGAATCCCATTTCGCTCAAGGACAGGCTGATCAGGCTTATACCGGCTACCTTAATTGTCTGCACATGTTTGGCTTGAGTCTGCCGTCAACGCGTTTAGAATGCTACCTTCAGACCACCTGGCAGTTTTTGCGGTTCCTCTTCCATCGCCTCTGGCTGGGACGGGTGCTGTCGCGGCGCACTGGTGGTCTTTTCTGTAATGCTGCTAGCCGGAAACAGGCCCTGGCCTCGGCCCGGGAACTTGCGCTGCTCTTCAATCGCTTAAATCAACTTCAGCTAACCGGGAACGGAAGTCGTGGGGATGGTAACGGTATCATGATGGCTCTTTTTGCCAGCAACATGGCTGAGGTCGCTCACAATCTACTGACACCGCGCGAGACCATCTGTATCCATGTGATGGCCGCCCTAAGAATGAAGCAAAGCGCACCGAAGTGGCTGAAACAGCTCTTTGCCCGTTACTACATGAGCCGAGCACGCCAGGAATGTGGTCGTACCCGGGCTGCTGAGCAGACGCAAGAGCTGCGATGGGCCTTCAGCGCCTACGGATATCGCTACTGCAGCACCCATGTCTTTAGATATGATGTGAGTGACTCTGGCGAACATGATGGCTTCTTTACGCGCCTGCGCAACTCCTGCGATCCCACTGCTCACGTTATAAAGGTATGTAAGGTATATAGTCGAAGGAAAATAGGTTTTTATCAATGGTTTACAAAATCCCTTAGCAATACCGCGAGCACCTGCTGTTTAAGGCCATTCAGTGTTTGGTGGGTGCCGGCCACAAGTCTGGCGGCGTCCTGCCTACAGCCGCCACTTCTGCCGGAGTAGGAGAAGCGGAGCAACTGCAGCAACAACAGCAACAACACAGTGGCACTATTGTTAGCAACGTGCTCAAGTACACCTCACTGTTAAGAGACACGCTGTGGGCGGAGGAGGATGAACGCGACACTAATGTGGTGTGGTGGGCTAACATTCTCGAGATTGCCGTGCACTGGCTCCTAGGGGAGGATACGCTAGCGGAGCAGCTCTATGACAATATTAAGCAAATGCCTGTGCAACTGCAGCAGAGTAGCGAGCACGATCATCTGCCCAGTGCTTTGCATGCTGTGCTCCGAGCTAAAATGATTCTACTTATGTAAGTAGCATAGAAAATCGAATACCAAAATCAACCATAACTTCAATTTTCTACTTGACAGGAACAATGGCAACAACCTGGATAAACGCCTCAAGCAATCTGTTAACACTTTGTGTGATGCATCGAGTGTCCAGCTACAGGAATGCTTAACCGTAAACCGAATCACTAATGCCCGGGGCATAAAGCTGGTAAGATGATGGGCGAGTGAGTTGAGTGACACCCACAAACGCCTCCGGAGATGACACGCAGGTGCATTGTAGTCGCATTGTCTGTCCCAAATATATATCCTCCAGGCAATACAACTGCAGTGCAAGCTCTGTGCATTTCACAAGCAACAACGCTCTTTTCCTTTTTGTTCCGGCAAACATCACCATATATTTATGTATATATCTCCGATAAATTCCCATTCCTCTGTTTTCAGCTGTTTCAGTTGCTCACATGCGAATGGCTGCTCGAAACACGGACTGCCTTGTGGGAACTTGAGCACATGGAAGACATGGAGGACGATGATGGTTACCGACAAGTGCCTGAGGAGGTTCTCGAAAAGGTTCAAACTGATTTGAATTCGTTGCGCAGCATTGTGGAAAATATACCGGTATAATAGGTTTATAAGATAAGATTATATTATATCTGACAATATTAATTACAGAACGCCCAATCGAGGATATATCTATACGAGGCCGTTTGTCGCCTGATGGCTGGGGCCTCGCCCTGTCCCACGCAACAGCTGTTGGACCGGAGTCTACGCTCCCGCTATGCCCACTCGTCCATCTTTTGCGGCAGCAAGGATCGCAGGCACCAAAACTTTGAGGGCGGGGAGCGAGAGCGGGCAGCGGCCATGTACGTGGCTTGCAAATATCTGCCGCCCGCCCTGCTTAGCTCACCCGGCGAGCGTGCTGGCATGCTGGCCGAAGCGGCCAAGACGCTTGAGAAGGTGGGCGACAAGCGCAAGCTGAAAGAGTGCTACCAGCTGATGAAGTCGCTGGGCAGCGGAATTGGCAGCGTCAAGGCATAAGTAATATAAGCGAACAAACTTTGAATTTCCCCTTCTTATCAAGTAAAAGGCGTCTGTTCTGTAGGCCTTTCGTTATTTAGTCTTTCATTTGCCCCGCGACCCTTTTTATGTTTAGATTTTAATTCAACAAATAATTTAATATGGAAATAATATAAAAATATTTGTTTATAAATTTACCAAGCAAGGTTAATCATATTTATAACAATAAATATTTAAACACTTACTGGATGCGTGCATGCACTTAATTCATTTAATTGCTTATCGCGGGAATACCCTATTATTATAAACGACAAAATGTGCGCGCTTTCCACAATAAATATATTACAATCCTTGTCAATACATATTTTGTCCGTGAAGTAGTACGTCTTACAATCTTGAGGTGCTAAAATCATTTGAACTATTTCTGTCTTACAAAGCAGTACTAGGTTGTGCTGAAATGGAATACTTTTTAGTAGATCACAATTACTGGAGTACTGTGATTAGTATTCTTGGTAAGTTTTGACTTATAAGGACCTATTAATCCGTAAACCTAGAGTTGGGAAGAAAGAAGTTTCAACAGGGATATTATACATTACTTTAAACATTAACCTATTTTGTACACCTTTTTTTTATAGCTCAGCAATACTTTTCGGACTCACATGCCACTTGTATTTTGTGGCATCCTGCGTTTGACTTCAAACTGGATTCAGTTGAACCACTACCGCTTGTTATAATGGATTCACAGAGATGGGCTTTAAACAAATCCGATGGCCAAGATGTATATGACTACAACAAAAAACGTAACGAATTTAAAAAGAATGGTATACCCCATAACGACGATTGGATACTTTGGCTGACAATTGCCATTGAACAGTCGCACTGTGAGGTGAGTTTTTCAGTCAAAGATGGTGTCGAATCTGGAGTGGGTGTCTGGTTCACAGTGTGGGCAGGTGCTGAGTTCATTAAATGAAACTCTCAGGAGACTCTGATCTTTTAAAAGGTGCTGGATCTGAAATTGTTGAATAAATTTAAGGTATACCTTTAGTTATTTAATGTGTAATACCTCTTCTCGTCTACTATGTGTCTTGATAAAAATGAATGTCATCAGGAGTTCCTGCTCCCGTTTTGATATTATTTCCCTCACGTTGGCTACAAAATCATTCACATCGATGCCAGACATCTGCCAGCGTTTGCCAAATTTTATGTGCTTTAACATCAAACAGCTTGTGACCACGGCCAAGAGTTGTTCACTTGCGTTGACAGGCGATTCTTCTTTGCAATCCAGGGCCAGGCACTCAAGGTCAGTCAATTTGCTCACCTCCGCCATGGATTTGGCTGGCCAGTTGTCGCAATCCAGAGCCTTCAGCTGGCGAAGAGACACAATGCGAGGCACCTGGTCCTCGCGAACCCGAATGGAGATTAGCTGTAGTCTTAGCAGGCGGTCGCAGTATCGTTTGAGGAGCGATCTATAAAAATCAGTATTCACTTCCGCCAACCAGCGGTTGATCAAGCGTAAAGACTGAAGGGCCCGTAAATCACCCAGATCGCTTATGTCGCAATCAAAGTTCTCCAGTGTCAGATGCTCCAAAAGTGGAAGGCATTCGGCTAGCTCTGGCATCTGATGAACTAGTCTAAATCTGCGTCCAAAGTTCAGCAACAGTCGTTTAAGTTCCAGTTTGTTTTCAAAAATCTGTCGGAACGCGGACACGCTGAGATTGGGATCGAGTCCATCCACATCTAAGGCTTGAAGCTTTCCAAAATTATGCAATTGTTCGACTGAAATAAACGAAAACCTTGTTAGAGAAAGACCGGAACTTTGATAGAACATAGTGGGATCCCGGAAACAGAATTATAAGAAATTACTACTTTTCCGAACTCTGAATCTTGTATAACTTTAACTTATAAATACGTACGCTGCGGGGTTCTGGCATCGATCAGAGTTAAGTTGCTCAGACTAGGTAATTTCAGGAACTGTTGCATGATGTGGCCCCTGTCACCCCCAACTGGCGGCGTTTCCGTATCCGCGTGCATAAATATGACCACTAGCTGACGCAGGTTGGGGCAATATCGACTGATAACATCCAGGAATGGATATGTGATAGCTTCATCCCAGCGCCCGTGCGGCACCTCGCATCTGACAACTTCGGAGCCGCACAGACTAAGTAGGAATTCCCAGTCCGAGACAGTTTTTAGCATCCGCACGTTGATTTTTCCGTAACGTGTTCGTAACACGTCCGCCAGCACATCTTGGAACAGAGGATGGGCGCGGCCCAGATTGAGCTGATCCTCCAGGGCATTAAGATGCGAAAATATCTGCAGGTAACAATCGTAGTTCAGCTGCAGGAGGCTGGGTCCTGTTATTGATTCTTGCTGCTTTCCGACCAGGAAAGAGAAGGCACAACCAAGGCCCAGTTTCTCCATTATTCTAGGACTAGATCATTGAAGAATTTCTTTAATTCCGTTTCTATAATTGGTAAACAAACTATCGATAAATTATCAGCTGACGATGTATGCACACACGGTTCATTACAATTTTTTGACCCACCTATCGGCGCAGTGTCCCGTTATCTTAAAAGTCGATTCAGAAATCATCGAAAACATTTAAATTTTAATCGTTACAAAACTGAAATACGTTTGTTCAATATTTCCTGTATTACTATTGTTGGGATTCAAGTTTATGACCAAATCCTTATTGGTAAAGTAATTTTAATTTGACTGACTGGATTCTTTTACAATATTTTTGTATAATTTTCAGACTTTTATAGCCTTTCAGGAGCAGATACCCGAATTCGCTCGATCCTTTTACCACGCCAGTATCTATTCCATTTGGCGTTCTCTGAGAAATAAATTTATTTTTGTTTATACTACGGAATTGCTGGAGGATAATGATTACTATTTCAGCGAGTATATATTTCAAGGTGGGAAATAAATAAGAGGTCTTATCAAAAGTAAAGTACAAATATCCTTTAAATCAAGATCAACCAAATATTTTACTGGTCACCTCGGATTACCTCAACTCGAGCAGCTTCGAGATCAAGACGAACCGCTTCGTTGGTCGGCGAAATTTTGATCCAGCACCGGGACAAATTCAATTTGATCACCTTTATCGATACAATTCTGTCGAAAATTGTGCAACCTGGACTTATGAGCTGAAAAGGAGAATGTCCGAAAAACTCCAAAACCTTCAAGGAAGGGAAATAGTTATTGGTGTTTTTGATTACAAACCCTTCATGCTGTTGGACTACGTAATTGCATAATTAATTTTAGTCAATGATCCATAAATAATATTCTATTTATTCAATTTGGCAGGAAAAACAACCAAAGGTATACGATCGAGCTGCAGATACGACGGATGCAGTATCCATTGATGGTACTGAGGTCAGACTTATGTTTTTTTTTGTGAGTTGTATAATTGCACTGTCCAAGTGGATACCTGTAAGTCGAAAAAATTATATGTATTTGAATTGATGCCCTTCTGATATTACAATTTTATAATATAGTTTTCACAGAGCCAAAACATGATTTTAAAAGTTTAGTTATGGAAAATCAACGAATTCTTGTGTTTGTTTTATAAATTTTCTTAGCTGAGCCAAATGACTGGGGAGGTGTCTATCCAAACGCAACGGGATATGGTCTAGTGGGAATGGTACTCGATAGACGAAACGACTACGGCATAGGTGGCATTTATTTATGGTAACTAATATATTATATACATATTTATCTATTTATTTTCTAATATATTAATAATGAAGCAAAAATAATGTTTAAACTCAGGTACGAGGCTTATCAGTACATGGATATGACCCATTTCTTAGGTCGGTCTGGAGTCACTTGCCTAGTGCCCGCACCGAGCCGCCTAATCAGTTGGACCCTTCTGCTCCGCCCGTTCCAGGCCGTTCTCTGGATGTGCGTGATGCTGTGCCTGTTGCTTGAGAGCGTGGCCCTGTGTATCACACGTCGGTGGGAGCATTTCTCGGATTCCTCTCAGCCTCACACCTGGACCGGTAGCCTGCGATTCGGTTTAATCAGTACACTGAAACTCTTTGTAAACCAGAGCACCAGCTATGTAACCCGATCGTATGCCTTGCGGACCGTGCTAGTGGCCAGCTACATGATCGACATCATCCTAACGACCGTCTACAGTGGCGGATTGGCTGCAATCCTGACGTTGCCCACTCTGGAGGAGGCAGCGGACTCGCGACAGCGACTCTTTGACCATAAGCTCATCTGGACCGGAACTTCGCAGGCTTGGATAACCACCATTGGCGACGGATCAGCTGACGTAAGTAGAAAACTATTCTAAATTCAAGAACATAAAATATATATACCTGTAGCCAGTACTCTTGGGCTTAATGGAGCAATACCGAGTGTTCGACGCCTCTTTGATATCCGCCTTTTCGCACTCGGAACAAATGGGATTTGTGGTGGAGCGCCTGCAATTCGGACACTTGGGCAACACCGAACTTATAGCAAACGATGCCTTGGAGCGCCTTAAACTTATGGTAGACGACATTTATTTCGCTTTCACTGCAGCCTTTGTGCCTCGCCTTTGGCCTCATTTAAATGCCTACAACGATTTTATCCTGGCCTGGCACTCTTCCGGCATAGACAAGTTCTGGGAGTGGAAGATAGCCGGTGATTACATGAACGGCCACCGTCAGAATCTCATTGTTGCTTCCCAGAAGCCAAACCTGGACATTGGTCCCGTCAAATTGGGTATTCACAACTTCATTGGCTTGATCTTACTCTGGTGCTTTGGCATGATCTGCAGCCTTCTCACATTTGCCGTCGAACTGTGGTGGGGTCGAAAGCTTATTTATTGATATTCAAGGATTTGAAAAATGCGTATAAATTTTATTTTGTAGCTTAAAGCTCATGGGATTGAGAATATAAAAAATACGAATTAATTAAGAACATTCAAAGTTCTAATAAAATGAGAGCTCTAACCATTTAAGTGTAACACCTGATCGGTGACGCGGGTTATCAGAGGATCCAGTACGTTGTCACCAAGCTCCTTGCTCCATAAATCGTACAATGTATCCGTGGCCAGCTGGACCGAGTTCCTTGTGGCAGTAGTATTAAAGGTACGAAGCGTTAGGAAGATGACAGCGTCTTCTACGATAGGGCTATATGTATCGCAAATCGTATGCAAAGCTCGAGCACCATTCGGGGCAATCTGTGGGTCACAAACCGTGTTAAATAAAAACTTAGTTGCACTGGGAAGGTACCCCTCACTTCATTAAGATTTACGATCAGAAAGACCTTTCCGTCTTTCATCTTTGCTTTGAATCTCTCAATCGCCAGGCCAGAATTGTCCAAGCTAGGTCCAAAGTCTTCCTTGCTCATGTGAATGAGTTGACTGGGGCCACCTGTTGATATGCCTTTTACATTATTTAATAACATTTTGTAATGGTATAAACTTAACCGCTTACCATAACAATTCGACGCTTCCAAAGCAATTGCATCAATCAATTTCTGGAGCTTAGGATTCTGGTGCAGGAACAAAAACACGCTGGGATGAACGTCCTTCTTATTTATTAGTCCCTCGATACCCTTCTGCAAGGCTAACCAAACTTTGTCTGGCTGTTCAGGCTGAACATTCCGTAGGGATTTAAAGGAACAAGTCTTAGCGGGTGCCGGTGCGAATGCGAACGCGAAGCAACAGCCAACCAGAATGCCAGCAATCGCGGCTCCATATAGGAGCGCATTGCTTCTTGGCAGTTGTTCATGTTTGGAGTCAAGTGCGCTTTCTGGCGTGTAAGTTGGCAGACTTTGTCTTCTAGAACGGTCAGCGGGTGCAGCAGGAGTCCCTGGGGGCGTTGCCGGCAGAGACTTGTCATCTGGTGCTTCCTGCTCACCGGATGAGGATGTTCCTTCTTCATAGCCTCCTGACTCTGAAATCAGTGTCCTATTGTCCACTTGTTCCTCCTGCTCAGAAGGGGTCGTTGGTCTCTCATCGTGTAGTGGTCTCCGCTTCAGGTCCTTCATTTCTCGATCTAAACTTTTCATATATCCCAAAATAAAACAAAAAAGTACCAGGGACGAAAGCCGACAATAGGGATGAACGTTAACTGACATACATATATCGATATATCGCTATCGAAAGTATTGAACTTTGGGGGTAAATGCTGAAATTTTATCGTTACTTTATCAGATTGTTTTTATATCATAATAAATAAATAAGAGCAAATTAAAATAAACAATACGACTTCTTATGTATCTTGAAGATTTTGAAGATAAGTCAATATCTAGATCTTTATTTTTTTGTATCCGATACCGTGGGATATAATAATAACATTATGTTTATACATATGTATATAAGAATAACTTAAAAATGCTTAATGCTAATTACACATTTAAATCTGCTGTTGGCACAGTGTTTAGAGTGAGGCGTCGCAGCCGGCCCAGGACAAAGATTTCATCTATTGCCTTTTTGGCATAAAATTTCTGGTCTTCACTAAGTTTGCGATATTCTAGGGACCAAGTCTGGGCGTAAATGTTGGACTCCTCGCTTCCACTGATGTCCGGTGGCAGTGAAAAGTCCGGAACGTCAGGATGCTGTTGGTGCTGTTGGGTTGGCAGTTTGACTAAAGATGGGACTCCGGAGATACGGCCGCCACCTTCGACCTCGGCAACTAACGCGGCTACGTCGACGACGGAGGGCTTTATTTCCATTTCATCGGGAATGGACTGTTTATCCTCGAGCTCATCATTAGCCGACTCCGAATCCATCTCAAGGGGCTCCGTCTTGGATTGGCCGGTCGGCCTGTACCCGTATAAGGTCTGCTTCTTAAGATATTGCAGGTGGCACCTGTGACGGCGCAAATTCGTCGTTGATTTGTGGACGAAGGACATGATACTTTTACAGCCGATGCAGTATAAGACATTCTCCATAAAGCTTCCATCGTCCTTCTCAATTTTGCGATACACCCGCCACACGGTGCTACGCGTACTTTTGTCGTTCATTGCCAGCTTGTAGACCCCGCTTTCTATTTTGTCGCGAAGATCCTCAAATTTTAGCGCCATTCCGTGGATTATTTTAGTTATTAATGTTTGTTATTATTTTTTGAGAGATAGCCTAGAGATGAGCCTAAGACACTCACCTGACTGTCCGATAGTTGTTAGGCGATGTTTTATGTCAGGTGGCAGCGCTGCCAACTGGCACATTGCGCCGGCAATTTACATTAGCGTTTGTTTTTATTTTTTGAAAGAGATTTACTTGTTTTACTTGATGGCCACTCTTTGCTTGGACTTTCTCGGCTTTCAGGTGGGGTTTAAGCAGTGATTATATTTACAATGAATGTTGCTAGTCGAGATTTCATGTCGCTGAGTTTACCACAAACAGGAAGCCCTGAAGAAGATGCGAGATGTGGACGACAAAATTATATATGCACTGAACGCCCTGCCCACCGACTCGTTCAAGGGTCAGGTCAACAGCGAGAGCACCTGCCGCGATCTGTACGCCAAACTCCAGCAGTCGCACCAGTCCCGGGTAAATCCTCCAAGTATTTTTCAGCCGCTCGAAACTAAATCCCTCCTTGCAGCAAGACAGCATACGTAGTTGCATAACCTTATCGGCCACAAATCTGAAGCAGCTGCGGGAGAACCGGGAGGCCCAACCGGACGATGTTGATACGGACAGCAAGTTCAAGGCGGAGCAGCGAAAGGTAGCCATCCTGTACGACATTCTTTGGTACAAAATATAGAAACTCTCTTTCATTCAATGCAGCTCCGTGTGCTCCAGGCAGAGCTCAATGTGGAGGATATCATCAAGGAGCGAACCTACAAGGCGTTCAACGAAAGGTGCCGGTCATACTTCCACGCCGGCCAGTAGGCACGTGCAATGATCCAGTGACTAGTTTTAAGTGGATTTATAGAGTGGTAGACAAGAGGGAACTGCCCAACCAGGAGGCATTTACTAGCACTTGGTTGTATTTTCGCAATTTACAACGAGTACATATATGTACATATAGAAAACTGTTCTTTTATTCGTCGAGAGGCAGGTTGTAGGTGGAGTAGAGCGATCGGATGGGGACGCTTTTCATGGTTGCCAAGGCTCCCAGGACGAGCTGTGTGGCGTCCTTCAGATCGTTGTACTCGTGCAGCAGCTCTATGGTTTTCTTTTTCTCCGAATCCGTCGAATTTTTGGGCTTTGTAGCCGCTTTTCGCGACTTTCTTTTGGATTCCTTCATTTTTAAATTGCTTAAATTAAATCGATGCACATTAGATATCGTTATCGATAGGCGCATCAGCTGGATGCATTCAGCTGCTGTATATCTGGCAACCCTGTTCGTCAAAACGTGTAAATTTCGCATCTTCTGTGCATGATTGAAACACGGAAAAGATTCTCCTGCACAGGTAAATTGTGGTAAAACGGCATGGTTGCCGCCTCGAAATGGTCCCGGAGTTTTGGAAGCCAGGAGCGAATATGTGCGAGACAAGTGAACTAAGAAGAATTGCTGACCTAAGCCCACTCACACACATGCATTTTTAACCAGCCGTGCGCACACTACGAAATGTGAAAGTGTTGTGATTGTGCATATTGCCAGGAAAATAAAAATGAAATAGTTCATGAAACGCCAACGAATATACATAAATATTTGGAAAGCTACGTAATCACGGGATTCAATACGACTGAGTGATTAGTGTCAAGACAACGTCAGTGCCTGGCTTGGGGTTTCTTCAAATCTAGTTTTGAATTAGATCTTAAAACATGTTAATTTAACCACCTGGTCAATACTGACAGTATAATTTTACCCTTCGTAGAATATTAATTGCCAAATCGACGATATGTCCACCACTCACAAGCAGCGCTATAAAAATGCCGCCCTGGATTCCACCGAGATGCGGCGGCGTCGCGAGGAAGTCGGCATCCAGTTGCGAAAGAACAAGCGCGAACAGCAGCTTTTCAAGCGGCGTAATGTGGTGCTGGAACCAGCAACATCATCGACATCAGCGGGAATGGAAAGCAGCAGCACCAGCAGCGAGCAGCAGGTAAGCAGCACTGCGACTACTCCCTCTTAAGTCGCACTCATAAGTGCTTCTGGAAACTAAGCTTACTGCTGAGCTGATAATTTAGCTCGCTTGTAATCTCAGCGGCAAATTCAGTTTTCAGCAACCAGTGCGCTTATGTGGCCTTATACCTGACCAACTCTTACATATTCTTCTTTGTCGTAGACTGCAGACATGCACATGGTTGACAGCAGTACAGGCCCATCCCATTTTCCCGGGCAGAACGAGGCAGCGGCCGGAATGGGAGCACAGTTATCCGTAATCAACGATGAGATGATTCAGATGCTGTACAGCGGGCGGGAAACTGACCAGCTGGAGGCCACGCAAAAGTTCCGGAAGTTGCTATCCCGCGACCCCAACCCGCCCATAGAGGAGGTTATCCAAAAGGGGATCGTACCGCAATTTGTCACCTTTTTGCGAAACAGCGCCAACGCCACGCTGCAATTTGAAGCTGCCTGGACGCTGACGAACATTGCATCGGGCACCTCGCACCAGACAAAGATCGTGATCGAGGCCGGTGCTGTACCCATATTTATTGAGCTGCTGTCCAGTCCCCACGACGATGTCCAAGAGCAGGCTGTTTGGGCGTTGGGCAACATAGCCGGCGACTCGCCCATGTGTCGGGACCATCTGCTTGGATCCGGCATACTAATGCCTCTCCTGCAGTAAGTAACAGCAGGGCCGTAATATAGTGAATGAACTATAGGTATTACTAACTTCATCAATAGCGTTCTGGGTAACTCGGAACGTATTACAATGATACGGAATGCTGTATGGACACTCTCAAACCTGTGCCGTGGGAAGAATCCACCCGCAGACTTTGCTAAAATCGTGCACGGCCTGCCCATACTGGCACGTCTACTGGACTACACCGATGCGGAAGTGCTCAGCGACACATGCTGGGCCATTAGCTACTTGTCCGACGGACCCAATGATAAAATCCAGGCTGTTATTGACGCGGGAGTTTGCCGTCGTCTCGTTGAGTTGCTACTGTGAGTACTTCTGATCCTCCGTTTTATGTTTGTGCATAAACTCATAAAAATTTAATGTTTTTTCAGGCATCCACAGCAGAACGTGAGTACAGCTGCCTTGAGAGCTGTGGGCAACATTGTGACGGGTGATGATCAGCAGACCCAGGTGGTGTTGGGATTCAACGCTCTGCCTTGCATAAGCCACTTGCTGCGATCGACGGCGGAAACCATAAAGAAGGAGTCCTGTTGGACCATCTCAAATATTGCTGCCGGCAATCGGGAGCAGATCCAAGCCATCATCAATGCCAACATTTTCCCCCAGCTGATGATTATCATGCAAACTGCTGAGTTTAAGACACGTAAAGAGGCCGCTTGGGCCATTACCAATGCTACCAGCAGCGGCACCTCCGAGCAGATTCACTACTTGGTAGAGGTGGGCTGTGTCCCGCCGATGTGCGATTTCCTCACCACCGTCGACTCTGACATTGTTCAGGTGGCGTTGAATGCACTTGAGAATATTTTAAAGGCCGGTGAAAAGTTCCAGGTGCGTCCGAATCCCTACGCTATTACCATCGAGGAGTGTGGAGGTAAGTTATTTAGTTTATTTTAACATTAGATTAGTATTTAATTTTGAGATGATATTGAATTTGATGTTTCGATACATCCTTCTTGTCTTACCTGGGAACATCATTGAAAATAGGATTTGATGTTTTACTTATTTCACATTATATGTACTTTACTTTTAGGTCTCGATAAAATCGAGTATCTACAGGCGCACGAAAACCGCGACATATACCACAAGTCCTTCTACATAATCGAACAGTACTTTGGCAACGAGGAGGAAGACAGTCGAGTGGCCCCCGTGGCAGGAGAGCAGCAGTTCGAGTTCGATCCAAACAACATGCCCAGCAGCGGCTTTAACTTTTAGCAACTGACCGAGCGGAATATAATCATGTGTGATTACATCCTAAAACACTCAAAACACAACAGAAAGCGGCGGCGGCGACTTTCTTGCCGGTATCTGAGAAGCGAGCAGAACAGGAAAAAAAGAACACGAAACATCGGCAGGAGGTGGGCGGACAATGCCTGAGTGCAGTCACTACTAGCATTTAAGAAAAAGTTGGTCATTTAGTCGACGCGATTTTATGTTTTATTAGTTTCTAACACATCGTCGTCGCTCGTCGTATACATACAATTTTATTTCTGCGATTTATTAATTTTACGCTTTCAAACTTGCAACGCGGTCTAGGACCAGTCATCATGACCTTACTCGAGCATTTCTCCTGCTAGCGAGATAGCTGACACTTAGTTTATATATATGTACTACCTTAAAACGTTATATACAGTCTAATGTATATAATGTCTTTGCTTTCTTAGCATGAGTTTGTAAATATTTTTGATTAAGCCCAATTATGTACGTTGAGAGCCTTGTCTCGGTGTTGTTATTATACATTCATACAAACAAACGAACGAACCAAAAGGAACTTTACTATAACGATAACAAAAAATTTTAAATATTTTCTCTTTAGTTAATTTTGTTATCCGAAATTTGTTTAAATTCTAAAGCATTGTCATTTAATTTAGTGGACACATCAATAAAGAACAAATACAGACCAGAACAATTTGGAGATTTCTACTGATTTAATTTCATTTTAGTTCCATTTTGTAAGTAACATTTTGTCTTCTAATTATTTTCCATTAAATCTTTTTATTCAAGTATTTTTCAAACTATAAAGTATACCATAAGATCCTAGAATTCCGACAATGAGAGTAATCAATCGTCCTACCCTAGGATCGCTTAACGAACTGCACCTTGTAGGGTTTTGGCGTCAGCGTGATCCCGGGCAGTAGGATCATCGAGGGAGTCTCCCCTGCCGGCAGGACGATACGGAAATGTTGCACGATTCGCACAAGGAATGAGAAAATACACGCGCGTGCCAAAGCATCGCCTAGGCAACGGCGTCTTCCCATTCCGAAGGGCATGAAGTATTCATCCTTGGAGCACTTTCCAGCTAAATCGATAAAGCGTTCCGGACGGAATTCCAGCGGATCCCCCCAGTGCTCTTTGTCCAGATGCACGGAACGCAAACCAATCAGAATGGTGGCATTCTTTGGGATGTCATAGCCACCCAATTTTGTGGACCATAGAGCCCTTCGCGGCCCAGTGATCGGAGTTATGTGAAAGAATCTTTGCACCTCCATGATAAAAGCATCCATGTAGTCGACGGATTCCCGCTTGCTGAGATGAGGGAAGGCATCCTCTGTGGTGGCGGCAACAACGCTGCCAGTCAGCTCAGCATACAGTTTCTCCTGGACATCCGCCCGCATTGCAAGTACCATAAGAGCCAGGTTGATCGTGTTGCTGGTGGTCTGGGAGCCAGCAATGAAAAAGTCGAGAATAGTCATCACCAGCTGCGTCTCGTTGAAGGTACTGCTGCTCTCGCCGCTCGCACTCCTGTCCTGCATCTCTTGGAGGTAAGCGTAGATGAGGTCAGTATCGGACGATGACGGTTCCTTTGCCAACTGCCTTCGGTGGTCGTCGATAGTGTCCATGAAGAAACCGTATAGCTCTGTGTTCAACTGGCGGATGAGATTGTAGCCCGTGCGATCCGGCGCCAAGTGGCGTAGCCAGGGGAACTGGGCCAGTAGGCCGCCGCATATGTCAAAGAGTTTGGAGCGTCGGTTCATCAGGTCAAGCAGCCGGCGGAGCGTGCTGTCCTCCTCGCTGGCGATCCTCTTGCCTGCAATTAGGCACCACAGTACGTTCAGAACACTCTGGGCCAACCACGTAACCGGCTCGATCGGCTGCTCATCTGTCCGCTCCAGCTGGGCTAGCAGCTCCTCTGCCTCCACCTCGATATGCTGCTCCATCTGGCTGCGACCATAGCCCACATGACGCATCTGCTTCATGGCGAAGTGACGGTGCTCGTACCACAGTTGTCCGTCCGTGCAAGTGATGCCTTTGCGGGTGCCCATTGTGCGCAGGCGCAGGAAGAAGTTGTCCGGCCGTCCCTCAAACACCTCTTGGAGCTGCACTTCCTTTACCATCTCGTGTCCTAAAGCCACCACCACATACTCCCTGCCCAGCTTCAAACCCAACAGGTTGCTTTTATAGTCCTTAGCCCATCGTTCGAATAGGATGTGCTGACCGCCAAGTGCGCGGGCCTCCTTACGGAACTGTGGGGTAAACGGAAAGAAAATTAAAATATGTTCTACTTAAATTTACTACTATTAATATTACACATAACAGAATTAAGACCAAGCTGTGTTTGCAGATTAATCAATAGTTACGGAATTATCTTTATCCTTACCTGCAAGGTATTTCCTAGCCATGGTACAAAACGAGGTCCTGAAAATACAATTATTGGGAATTTTATGAGCTTTAAGTAACAAAGTTAAAGATAAATAAATATCTTCATAAATAAATCGTGATTTATCCATATAAGTAAATCCCAACTTATTTAGTTGATAATTCGATTTCTTTTAGCCCTAAAATCAGGCTAATCTATTAATTTAATTTGTTGCTACATCAGATAGTAGCACTAAGTAAAACTAATCTTATCGACAACTACTAAAATCAGTTTACTGCCTGTTAAGCAATCAATTCGAAAGTGAAAACCCTATGGTGAAATCTATGATTTAAATTAAATTAAAGTGGCATATATTTACTTGATTTATGTGATATCTTGGTTAAAGAAATCCTTCACCTTTGATATATCTTTAACATTTCTTTAACAAGTTAAGATGTAATATTATCCAATATTATAGTTTAATTTTGTAGAATATATAATGTAATGTAATCCGATTCCTTATGCATAACAGACATCTGGCATAACAAGCTGCTGAATTGTAATAAATCAGCTCGACCCTTGTGTGACACTAGCTCAGGACCAGTTAGGCAAGGTGTCAGAGATGTGATAATTTTATCAATTAGATTTATTTATGCCAAGCGAGGCGTGTGTCTCAAGTTGGTTGTTTGCCATATGTGACCCATAGCCATTAAAATTTGCTAATGAGCAGAGCCAATTGGACGTGGGGCAGGTCTGCTTGTATGCATACATCGATCTCAGTAAAATATTTCTAAATTTATAGGTGTTTACTATTAGGTATAAAAATGACCTAACATATGTATAATTTTAAATAATGTCAATATAGTGGATAAGTAATTCCTAGAATCCTAGAGGGGTTCTCCAATTTACAGCTGTGTTTGCTTAGTTTCAAGAACTTACCTGGAGGGAAATTCTTAGGACGTCGCAATGATGTGATGAGTGAATAAATCAGGAATCCAATGAGTATAGCACACAGAAATATGAGGGCACTCATTTTGAATGTCGCCGAAACGAAAACGCAACCGTAACCCGAAACTCGAGCCTTTTGTCCAATTAATTTGTTAATTTAATAGGGACTCCTCGACTCGACCCACAATCTGAGAGCGTCCGTACACCACGCCAGCTCTATGGCAACTAATGAACGAGAGAGCGTCGCGACAGACCCAGCCAAACCCACGCGCCTGGTCGGTCGGCCTGTCGTTTTTCATGTGGGTCTATTGATAGTGCAGGCAAAAAATAAAATAAGAATAATAAAAAACGGAGCGAAAAAGCCCGTCTCAGTTGATAAACCCAACAACACATGTACACAAGTAGTTATGTGCCCAAAGAAATTCGAGCACCGATCACGTCCGAAACGTGCTTGGCTCTAATAACTCATTGGGATCGTCTTCTCATCGGGCAGGGGGAAGAGAGCAATGTAGGGAAACTGGATTGGTGTGTGTTCCCATGATCGTAGTCTAAACAAAGTTATTAGAATACTTTTAAAAGTTGTATGTTAATTTAAATTGTTCTGGTATAAAATAGATGAGGAGCTTATCGTAAGATATAATGTTTGTACATACAGAAGTTTCGGTGTGATTCGTAAATTGATCATCGGAGTCTGCCGGGAAACGTTTTCATACCCTTTATAGAAACACCGAATTTTTGGCAATTATATAATCAATCTCGTTCGTCCACGGATTCTTGAAGGCCCGCCACTCGCTCTGCAACTGAATGTAACTGTTGTCCTTGCACCGAAAGCGGTACACCTGTGTAGTGACCTTCTCCGGCACCTGCATCACCATCTTGTGCGACTCCATCAGGGCAGAGATGTCTTCGTTGTGGAAATACTCGTAGAAGCTGGTGCCCAGAATCTCCTGCGGGAGGAAGCCGATCACAAGGGTGGCCCTGTATTGAATTATAAATATTATACGATTTTAATCGCAATAATATCTAGTTGTCCCATACCGCTGGTCAATAAACAGGAACTTGCCCTCTCCAGAGTGTCGCGAAATGAAGAGCACGTGCCGTATGTTCGGGTGATTGTCCAGCGAGGCGGGCACATTAGAGTTGAGGAGGTTTGGGGGGATACGACCGATGGCCACCAAACAAGATAGGTTCGTCGTCTGCTCGTCACTGTCGCCGTCCTGATCCTCATCCTTAATAGGAGTCCACGATTTAAGATAGCCCGTGCACTGAATCACTCGGTACTTGTGGCCCGTGCTCAGCTTCGACTTGCGCTTAGTGGAGCTACGTGAGCTGGAGGATGTGTCCGACTCCTCCTTGATCTGGTTGTTATTGGCAGCACGCAACTTCATACGGCAAAAGAAAGACCGCCTGGCACCGGGACACAAGCGACACAGGCTCTGAGGGACGTCCGTCTTAACGGGCAGCATAGCTAGAAAGAGTGGATCCTTCATTCTTCGCTTTCAGTCAGTCGTTTGCTGAAATCTTACTCTTTGCGTCGATGAGGCGCTCCCTGGGGCACTGTTCCAGCGAGGAGAGCTGCTCCTTTACCTTGCCAATGTCCTTCGGATGCAATATATCGAACCAGCTCTGTCCCAGCAGATCCGCCTGCGTGCAATTCAGCACACTGGACACCGAATCAGAGACGTACAATATTCGTCCCCGGTCACAACCCACAACGAAGAGAAATCCCTCCGAGGCTTGGAGAATAATCATTTTCAGCTCCTGATCGGAGAGGAAGCTGGGCCGGTAGTCGGATCCGTTGAAGGGATGCAGGCTGCCGCTGCCACGGATTCCACGCAGGTGCTGCACGGCCATTCGGAGTACAGTGAGCTTGTCCAGCTTCCGTTGCATCGCATAGCACATGGGAATCATGGAGGAGAGCTCATTGATGTAGGTGTTCATCTTGTCTCGCCGCCGCTTCTCGATCTCGCTGTGATTCTGCCTGAAATTTATAAAGTTCATTAGTTATATTTTAGATTAAGCGTAAAAGTCGTAACTATTTCCTACTTGCGATTTTCATCTGAAGTCCTTGCCGATTTCTCCTCGTCGAATGTTTCATCTTCGATCTCTTCAAGATTTTCGCTGAAACGAAAGAAAAACAGAAAGGTAAAAAAAACTACCCCATTTGTTTGTGTATGTGCGTGTGTTTGCAGATGTAACGGCAATTCTCAACTGTTGCTGGCTTTTCCGTTTACAACCACCTGGCGGCGCACACATGCAAACAACTCGGCGATGTGCTTGTGCATGTGTTGGCAAATTTGTGTTCTAGCTTAACGCACACAGACACGCAGTTCTACACAGCTTTATGTAATTTGCACTGCCCCTTTATTAATAAAACTTACCCAAACTCTTGCACTTCCATTGCCAATCGATAACGGTGCTGGATGCAAATTCAATTGTAGCTGCTGAGGGCAATTTGCTGTGTTTACCAACAATAACGGCGCTGGGGCCGCACTAATAACATCCCAACGGAAGGGTCTGCAGTCACACAGTTTAATGCAAGCTTTTCCTGCATCTTCAAGCTTGGAAGCTCCAGCACGACCGCTGTGGGACCTTTCATATATTTAGTACTTTGGGCAAAGTGTGACCAGTTAGCTTCGATTTCGTGTAGGCGCGCAATTATAACGGTAGAATAACATCTCAAAATGGTATTTTTACAAACATTATTAATTACCTTATAAGAACAAATTGAATTGGGGTTTACGAATTTTATTTTAAACTGCCTTTTCTACATTTGATATTTACACAAAATCATTTATGCCTTAGTGCTAAATAACATACTTAACGTCAAACAAACACAACTAATAAATACACAAATGAACTATTTCCTAAATGTGATACATTTTATCCAAGCATATGGTTATAACTTGCATATAACGATCCCAAAGACATCGAGTTTCTTGGTCCCTGGAAAAGAATTGTTCTTTATTAAAAAAATAATGTATTATGAGGATCTTACCTAGATATTTCCAGATCTAACACGCTCTGCGTTATGGAGGCTAAAAACTTGTTCACCTGTTCTCGATTCCAACCATTCTGCCGCCAAGGATCGATTAGTTTCTCACAGAGATCCACGAATAGATCGCGAAGTTCACGATTGCGGTGCAAATTACAGGCAATTGTAATTAAAGCACGCCAGTACGAGCTATAAAAATAACCAAAATTATAACATGAAAATTACAATTGAGGGGCAAGTCCGTACCGAAAGTTGCCATCCAGTTCATGAAAGGCACGTTCCAGTAGCACGGGTTTCAGGCGCAGGCAGACGAGACTAAGAATAAATACCATTTATATGTGCATAGCTTGTACACTATCTTTTCTTACTGCTTAATTTCCTTTTCCTTGTCGAGGAGGCAACGCAGTTCTCGCAAATCCAAAAGGAACTCCTTGTCCATTTCAGTGTCATAGTATTCGGGGCCCGTGTGCTGCAAGGAATCAATTAATTTCACCTAAAAAATCCACATTTGATAATGAGTGACTTGCCTGGTAGGTGTACGTCCAGTAGATCATAATGGCATGGGAGCAGGTTAACAGGTCGCTGAAACTCAGATATTGCAGCTTCTTTTTCGTGGTCTCAAAACGCAGACAGGCCAGGAAGACAATGCAGGCATACTTTCTGAAATAATTTAGTTACAAGTTAGAAATAAGTTTCCACCGAATGTGTTTCCTACTTGGCCAGGTCGTTCGAAATTATGAAATGCTGCTTTATGTTGTTTGTCAGCGTACCAGGCATCTCTTCCACGGACTTAAATATGCGTTTTACGTTGTCGAACTGTCGCCTAAAGAAACATTAATTACAACAATTACATCAGATAAATCTTGGACAAGCCTTACCGAACAGATTTCAGCTTGACGCACGTCTTCTCAGCCACTTCGTCCAGGTCCTTGCGATAGCGGGAGGACAGCTTCTTGCCAAGAATCTCCCGTGCCACCACATCGTCGATCGAATAGTACTTCTCGGTGATTAGATCGCGAACATGCGGCTCCAGCTGGAAGCAGGACTGCTCCATCAGTTTGGTGGGTGCGTTGAGGTAAAGCTCAATCAAGGAGTAGGTGCGGTAGTGGTCCAGCACGTCGGAAGCTATCAGATCGCTGGGAGCACCCATTGAGTGGCCAAAGCCTTTCTGCTTCAGGTAGGAAACCGCCTCGCTGGCTGGAAGGTACACAAATTAAAGATAAGCCAAGAGCTTGACTCGGAGAGCTGAACGTACAGGAGAAGCCTTCGATCCATAGTTGGTATATCTCGGGATCCACGAGAGTGTAATTACTTATAAAAACATCCACATCGGCCTACAAGAAACTGATTTTAGCAGATATAAAATTTCTTTGCTTCTTTACCATTTTACAGCAGTAGTATGACCGTATTACGGTATTGCCACCAGTACTTATCGATTATAGAGATGGCATATCGCCACAAATAATTGTTTAAGCATTTAACGAGTTTGAAATATATCGCAATAAATTAAACGTATGTATAAATTAATTACTTCAAATTAAATAAAATTGATAAAAACTATTAAATAAAATAAATACTTTATAAATAATTAGGGACTCTAATCAGATAATTTTTCTAATTGGAAGATGGATAGCTATGAAACGCATCTATCGATATATCCAATGGCAAGCGATACCTGCAGTGCGCATGACAACTCTAATTATCATGAGGAAGAAGAGGAGGATATCAACTTTTAGAGACGAAATTTAGTAAAGTTTAAGCATAAGAAATGTAAATCGCGATGAACCCAAACACTGTAAATAATGCAACGCAACGTCAATGCATGCAACGCGCAGTTCGCATATGAGTGGTGAGCGCGGGAAAACGCGGATCGCGTCCGCAGCAGCAACAACAACACCGACCGTCTCAGACATATCCAATTGCAAGTTGCAATTCCGATGAACACAACTCAACAATAATAATATTTGGCACAAGAATAAGTGAAAGTGAACCACCGAGTGGGCGCCTGGCGCAAAAATAATATGGAACAGGTCGACTCCTCTACCGAGCTGCACCTGAATAGGAAAGATCTGGCCGCGCTGGCCGACGACGTTGTGAAAGAAGAGGTGATATTGGAGAGTTCGGGCCATCACCATCATCATCATCAGCATCACCATCATCAGGTAAAAGGAGCAACAAACGAGGAGCCAGGCTCTTTTGGCGGGTGGCGGTGGCTGCCAGAGGAGAGCGTGGTTCCCAGAGTTCGGTTCCTGGTTCATGGTTCTGAGTCCTCGAACTCCGAGTCCGAATCGAAACTGTCTCTGCTCCGCTTCGCTCTGCGCAGTTGTGGAAAGTGCGGTTGTTTGTGTGCGAACGTGTGTGTGTGTGTGTTTCTGTGCGAGTGGGTGGTTGGGCGGCTGGGGGTGGCAGCGGGCGGCGCACACAAAATGCGCGCGGTGCTTGCGCCCTACGAGCTGCTAGCTATGAGCTCCATGCGACCCACTGGGCAATCCCAACCCCCAAAAACCGCCAGCCCGTCCGCCCGCCTTTCACCTCCTCCACCCAACCCAGCGCGCTTGTGGCGCAAATTGTTGTGTATACCGATTTTCATTTTTCCCATGCTGTGTTGTTTACTTACATTCGAATTTTCCTCTTTGATTCCTTGCTAAAAATCGCTCTGCATCGCATCGTCGACGAATCGAAACGAAAACACAACCACAATTACGAATTCGGCCACTGGATATCCATCCACATGCATGTGACGAACGTGGGAATATGTGCGCTATGGTAATGCAGTTGGACTCCAAGGTTCGCATGGTCACATCCTCCTCAAACGACAACAGCGGCAGCGGCGGCGCCAGTGGCGGAGCAAGCGGACCCGGTGGCCAAAGCGGCGGTGGCAGCGGTGTGGTATCTGTGCCTGTGTCCCTGCCTATTGGATCGATGCTAACCGGCACCACCTTTAATGTGATCACGCCCGACCAGCTGCCTCACTTCAAGCCGATGCTGTGCGTCGACAACAATGGCTACCTGTCCGGCAGCACGGTCAGCATGGGGAACGACCTTAAGACGATCGTTATTCAGCAGCAGCAACAGACGCAGCCTGGCGGCGGCGGCGGTGGAGGCGGAGGTGGCGCCAACAGTGCAGGCACCAACACGACCGCAACCAATACGATTGGACTGAACCACGATGGCTCCGGGAGCAATAACAGCCACGACAGCTTGGCCACCTTGGAACACACCGGCGCTGGAGGAGCGGGCACTGGTGGTGGCGGCGGCACAGGCGGTGGGTCCACCGGTTGGTCGGAGAACCCGTCCACCCAGCACATGGAGGTCTTCCAGATCCGCTGTAAAACCACCTGCGCCGAGCTATACCGCAGCAAACTGGGATCGGGCGGACGTGGTCGCTGCGTCAAATACAAGGATAAGTGGCACACACCCAGCGAGTTCGAGCACGTGTGCGGTCGGGGCTCTAGCAAAGACTGGAAGCGCTCCATCAAGTACGGCGGCAAGTCGCTGCAATCCCTCATCGATGAGGGCACGCTCACGCCGCACGCGACCAATTGCAGCTGCACGGTCTGCTGTGACGATGAAGCAGGTGAGTCAGGTGAGACGACAAACAACATTTACTTACTATACATAGACTCCGTTGTGGCGGATCTGCCCAGACAGATTTGTCACAGGGCGTCACAATGTGCACAGGGGACTCGGACACAACTTGAAGTTAGTTCACAACTAAATCAATGCATGGAGAGGGTTGGCTTTCTCCTGCCTTCTTTGCTTGTCCACTTATGCCGAGTTCCATGTGCCATCACCTCAATCCCTACAGAGAAACATTTCATATTAATTCCCCAACAATTCGGTCCCGTTTAGCATCCGGCCCAGTGCGTCTCTTCACGCCGTACAAGCGGCGGAAGCGAAATCAAACTGATCTCGACATGGAGCCGGGACCCAAACGCAAGCGCAATGCCCATCATAGCAACAACAATAATAGTAATACCAATAACAACAACACGAGCGGAGGGAGCACAGCCAACAATTGTGTGGACGTGACCGCCGCCGTGGCTGCAGCAACGGCCAATGTGGTGGACGAGAACAACATGTTCCTGGCGGAGGAGAATATAACGTCCAAGGATGAACCGTGGGCGGCGTTAAACGACAGTTTGGATACTTCCACCGAGCTAGTTGATCAGTCCCAAATGGGCAACGCCTATGAGCGGGAAACGTTTGTGGTCAACATAAACGATGGCTCCTCCATCGCCGTCCTGGACACCAGTCAATCGATAAAGAATATCGAGCACGTCTACTGCACCATGGTCAAGGCAACTAATGATTTCAAGCGCCTGCTGAACGACATGAAACAGTCCTACGAGCGTCGCATCGAGGTCCTGCAAAAGGAACGCGATGCGGCAGTCAGTGCAATGCGTGTCCAAGTCCATGCGGACATTGACGATCCCAATATATCTGGTTCCCTGCATGGAAATGAGATCATATCGGCCAAGAAGGTACATTTTACTAATTTTTTTATTCTTTAAACCCGTGTCTAGCAAGTTGAACCATATAGATACCCAGAGTGTCCCGGCGAATTTTCAAACAAATATTATCCCTTGCTTTTTTGTTATAAATGAATTTTTGTTTTTATTTGATCATTTCTGAAACCAAATATTAATTTGTATTATTTATTAAAATAGTGCGCCAACTGTAACCGAGAAGCACTGGCCGAGTGCTCACTGTGTCGAAAGACGCCGTACTGTTCAGAGTTTTGCCAGCGCAAGGATTGGAACGCTCACCAGGTGGAATGCACAAGAAATCCACAGACAACGCAACAGGTCATGCTGTTGATCGATGATCAGTCCTAAGCAACATAACGAATTGTACATAAAAATTTTACTACTAATTAATACGATCGATTATACAAAGTTCCCCTTCCCCATCCTTGATACTAAGTGGTCCATAGACCATCCCACTCCCCGCCCCTGCTTCCCTTGAGCAAGTTGTCGGCATCCTCTTAGACTTATGTCCTATATTAATGTAATTCTTAACGTATAACTATATAAATATATATATATACATTTTACTATTGAACGTAGGGCAACCCAGCAGAAAAGAAAAAAAAAAAAACAAACGAAATAAAAGTAATTAAAAAAAGAGTAAAAGGTAGCAAGCGAAAATCAAAGCAAGTGCAAAGGCGTAGATAATTAATTAAGCTACGATTTGAAAGTAACAAGAACCTAAACCGATTACATGTAATTCAATTTAAATTTAATTAAATTAATAATAGTTGCAAAGCGCGCATAGCATAACTGACAAGAGACCCCCGACCTATCTATCCCCTAGCCCATACACACCACTCATTCACAGTGAAGGAATATGGAAAGAAAGATAAAATCGTAGCGAAGATAACACACAAATTCTGAAATTACCATACATATTCGTCTATGTATACACCTTTCATTAGATCTAAGCGCATAGTTAAACTTTTAACATTTTACCATTATAATTTTATGGATACTACTGCCCGTTACAAGCATCCAATAATAAAGATTTCAAACAAGAAAACCACAACAGAGCTGCATCTAAACGTAAGCAAAGAATTCCGAATTCCGATTCTATCCGCAGCATAGTTATTGATAGCGATTGATGACAACAATTCGCAAAACTACTGTCTGTTTAGCTGTGTGTAAATGTGTCTCGTAGGGTTTTCCTCCGTTCTCCTCCTTCCTCCCATTTGTAAAGTTTTTGCCTCCCCCAGCTAATAGTCTGTAGTCTCCATATGCTAATACATCCATATATGTAGTATATATATATATATATACATATAACGAAAGATATCTTTAAACAACTAGCTATATATTCCGATTCAAGCACACCCCCACACACGTTCATACACTGAGATAAACGGCAAAACCTAAAATCAAATCTTGATTTTCATGTCTGTATGTAATGGTTTCGGATACTACAAAATTTAATCTAGACAACAGCTACACTGCAAGAAAATTCAATAGCACCCGATAACTGACAGCATACTGAAACACAAATCAAAACACGAGCGCAAGGTGCAGATAGAGAGAGATCAATGGGAGAAGTTCGGATAAAAAGATAAAAAAAAAATATATAACTACATTTAAATGTACAAAGCCTAACTTTTTGTCGTGTCTTCCTTTCTGGTTTGTTTTATTTTTAATAATTTTATTTTCTTTGGCCTTGGTCAGGCTTTTGGGGCTGAAAACCAATTCATTTTATTCAAGATGAGTGTACCGTAAATATTCCTATTTTATTAATTTACGCAAGTTATTTTTTCTGCTGAAAAGCTTTATGGTTTTGTAACTTAAGGTATACATTTTGAAGAGGTTGAAAAAATGGACTGGGGTTCTCTCGATTGTCTCAACAAATTTAAATGAGGCTTGCACATAATGTCTAACTCTGCCTCTACGTCATTTAATTCTTTTATATTCGCAGATATAAAAATCCCCACAGTACGGATTACTAATGAAATAAAACAAAACTTGGATTTACATTTGTTTGTTAGTTTTTATGCACATGTTTCGTTTATTATTGCATTTCATGTTGCCGTCTGTGTAGCATTATTATCGAATTATTCAGTATTCCTTACTCTTAGTGTATTCTATTACCAAAAATAATTTCTTAAAACTTGTTTACTCGCGTTTAATTTATTTATAGGTATTTGTATTATTATTATTCCATGCTTGCATCCTGCAACTGCTCGGGGTAGAGTGTGTTGGCTAGATTATTCGATTTATACGTACTTGCCAGCGGTAATTCGGTAACTTGTGTTCTCAACTACAATTACAAACGTGGAACTAAAAACTCCAGCGGGAAGAGAGCTACAGTAGAATGTTGCTTTTAAATATATATGTGTATATATATTCGTATCCGTGTAAGTTGGGTGGGGAGTGGGTAGGTGTACATAGAACGAAACCGATATTTAAACATGAGAGTGTGGTTTATTTTGCCGTCTATATATCTTCTTCGCTGGTTTGTTGCTATTGGCATTAGTAACTAATTTGTGTGATAAATTTTCGAACCGCTCCGAGTGTTCTAAGGTATAATTCCTATATATTAAAAGAAATTTGATTCGTAATAAATCGATACAAAACATATACGCATAATTAACGTGCCTAAAGTTTATAACATTTCTCAATTGGCTAAATAATAAATTTATGGGGTAATTTGCTGCTGCCCAATGAAGTAAACAATATATGGGATAAAGAAATGCCAAAAGTAAGGGATTTCGGGTTCACAAACACAACGTTTAAATTGGTTAAGTGTTAAACAAAGCCAAAATGGAAGGAAATCGGGGACATTAGTATAGCTTTTAAACCTAACTCGAGGCGCCGGAAGAGACGCTTTAAGCAAAACTTTTTTTACATACAATACACCTCGTATTCTTCTCTTTTTGTTTGGAATCACAAATGTTAGCTAGTATTTAAATACACATGTAGGTAAGACATTTAAAAGGGAAAATCGGGGAGTATGCGACTCTTGGCGATCTGGTGGTGGTGGTTAGAGAGACGACTGTGGTGGCAAATGGTGCGGCGACCAACATTCAAGCTGCTTCTGCTGCGGTTGAGGGTCTGGCTCTTACTGTTCCAGCTCCCGATCGAGCTTCACTCCAAGTTCCGCACCTCGAATCGCTTGTACGTGTAGTTGATGAATACCCAGTCCTTGGCGATCTCACCGCCCTGCGGTATGGGCGCCGATGCTGTGGAATCAAAATGGAATCATATTTCGTGTTGGCTGCCCAGCCCACCGACCCCAAAAACTTACGTATTTCCAATGAGACATCGGGGAACTCATCGAAATTGGACGTATCGTCGATGGAGCGCACCTCGACGGGTATGGCTGCGGGACGTTCGCGTATGTGCTCCCAGTCAACGCCCCGGAAGAACGGCACAGACTTCAGATCATCGAGACCGCGCTGGGAGCCCAGCCGGCGATCGGCCTCGCAGCAAAAGTTGATGATAGTCTCCTTGGCCTCCTCCGAGATAGGTATTTCCGGGGGGAATATCAATGTCTCGCGCCAGTTCATTACCTTTCGGTACGTATCCTGCGGATTGTCCGAACAGAAGGGCGGATAGCCCATCAACATTTCGTACATAATGACGCCGAGAGACCACCAGTCGCAGGCCGGTCCATAGCCGGTCTGTAAGAATACTTCGGGTGCAATGTAGTCTGGCGTTCCCACCGTACTGTAGGCGAGGGCGCGTCGGTTTCGCTTCCACGACTCGGCACGTCGCTTCGAGTCCATGGGACTGGAGGGAACATAATAGTTGGTTATATCGCCAGCTTATTCTCATAGCTTACTTACCTGGCACAGGTGCCAATGAAATCGGATGGTTTCGCCTGCGATAAATCCCGATAAAAGTCTGTCCGATGTGACTTCTTTAAGCCGGTGCAGAGTCCGAAGTCGGAGAGCTGGAAAATGCCCGATTAGTAACCACATATTGGGAAGATTTTTACTGAGTGCTCACCTTGAGATGGCCTCGAGCATCTAGCAGCAAGTTGTCCGGCTTGATGTCCCTGTGTATGAAACCGAGTTTGTGTATTGAATCGATCGCCAGTGCCGTCTCGCTGATATAGAACTGTGTGCACTCCTCGGATAGCGTGTCCTTCTTCATCAATAGCGTCATCATATCACCGCCAGGCAAGAACTCCATTATCAAATATAAATTGACCTGATCCTGTGACGGTAATATACATACATAGGTAGGATTATGATTTAAAATGATGATGCCTAACAAAACAAGTTCTTAATATATTCAGACGAGTTTCAGTATTACTGAAAATATTACCAATTGTATATTCTTACATAAAGTTAATAATTAAATATTTATAGTTTTAAAATGTTTTACTTTTAAGAAGAAATATTCATTTTATTGTGAGTATATTAATTTTTGTTAAACTGTAACCATTGTTGCATAACTGGAGTGAAGGTGCGCTATAGGCACGTATTCCTGTGGCAAGAACTTTCACCGCAACGAAGAAGTGGAGTAAAGGGGAACACGAAAAACAACAACAAAGACGGTACCATACAGAGAGAGAGAAAGGGACGTGACCATATGATTGGCAAGGCGCTTTTGGCACTTGCACTTGTATTGGTTTATTGATTTTCTGCCGTGTGTTTTTTAACACAATTCTTTTGTTATGCACGCTGTCCCAACCCGAGCTCCTTCCTACCCCCTTCGCTGCTCACTTGCTGTTGTTGCTGTCACTCACCTGGAAACTGTAGTACATCTTGACCACCCACTGATGATCGGCCTCGACGAGAACATCACGCTCGGCGCGTACATGAGCCACCTGCTCCTTCTCAAGCATATCGGCTTTGCGCAGCACCTTCATCGCGTACACATGGCCCGTGTCCTTTTTCTGGACGAGACGTACCTCTCCAAACGCTCCCCGCCCGATGACTTTTAGCGCCTCGAAGTCCTCGACGCCCAGACGGAGGCGTTTGAGACGCAGGTACTCCGTCTCCTTTTGCGCATGCTGCAGACGCTTCTCCTGGCGCTGCGACTCTGTCAGGCTCTCATCCTTTAACTGCGCCTCCAATTTGGCCAGGCGCTGCTTCCGCTCGCCGTACTGCGTCACCAGGTTGCTGTAGTAGTTTTCTAACGTCACCTTGGCCTTGGTGGCCTTGTCCAGTGTGTGGTCGCTGAATCTGATCGAGGCACCGTCAGCGTCCTGCGTTCTGCTGCTCATCATCTAAGCTGTGTGTAGTCCTGGTCGCCTCGGTCGTGTGTGTTTTGTATTGCGTTTGCTGTTTCGCACTATACTCCGTTCTTGTTGTGTGCTGCCCCGTTTTTTTGTGTGTGTTTCTGTGTGTGTTCACAGCCCGGCTGTGTGTCCGTTGGTGTGTGTTAAGGAGTTATGCACTTGCCAAAGCACACACACTGCTTTTGTCGCCCGTTTCTCGCCTTTTTCCGCCGTAATTTCCTTTTCCACGCTAATTTGTGTTAAAATATGAACTGAATTCCTCCCTCTATCTATAATCGTCGCCAAATGTAAATATGTATGTTGAAGGGGACACACTGGCGCGGCCACGAAAGCCAATCGATATATATCGAGTTTGAATTTTCCTCATTTTTAGATTGATGAGAAATATATAAATAAAATGTTACATTAAAGTTATGGTGTTATAAATTATTATTATTTAATTTGTTATTTGTCAAGTCTACATTTCATTTTAACTAAGTTTGAAATCAAAGGAATACGATAACTACGATTCTTAAGAGTAAAACGTAATAAATTGTAAGTGAAAAATACATTTAACTAATTCGGCTATCAAGTGTATATTATTCTTTCTCAATTAAAATAAATAAATTAGAACTAATAACTATTGCGATGGTTGAAAAACAATCGAAATGCATTTAAAAAAATCAAGTAACTATCGATAGTGACATCGATGATGTTGTTTTGTTTTGACACTCAATTGGGAATAATTTGGCAGTTAATTTGTTAATTAATCCTGCTCCCGCTCCGGTTTCCCATTAAGCCGTCCCCACTAACTCCCTGGATTTATTGGTCAGGTGACACAGCTCGCGACGACGATGCCCACATTCAGATAGTAATGGCCCGCATCACTAGTATCCTGGACTTGGAGCCCAGTTGCCTGCTTTTCATTTTCAATCTACTGAGCTTGGAGGACCAGCTGCACCTGGCTAGGTGTTGTCGCCTCTTTCGGGACGCTTTCCTCCACCTGCATCGACACCATTTCCAAGATGTCATCGACAGGGAGACGAATTTGCGGACTCTCGAGGACTGGCACACATTCCTTTGGCTGTGCGGTGGTCGCATCCGCAGCTTACAATCCTACTTCGACGATGACCACCCTCTGCAGCTGATGCCAATGATCAGCAGGCATTGCTACCGGCTGGAGAGGATCTCGATTCATAACGCAACTGTGGCCAGAGCACAGCCGTATTTGCTGCGGATGAGGTCGTTAAGAAGTGTTCATGTGCGCAACTACAAGAGCACCAGCAAGGACCTGGTGAGAGCGATAAGGATTCACCTCCCGCTGGTGACCACCTTGAGCCTGGAGAGCTTCGATCGAAGGGAATGTGAGTGCTCTGTGATAATACCTTGCAATTTTTACCTATTTGCTTAATATTAATTGTCGATTTTTCAGTACAAGAAGTGCGTAATTTTAGCGAGCTGGTTGAGTTGGGTCTGTACGATGAAGTCACCGCCTCGGAGTTCGCTTTGATAGTAAAGAACATGAGAAATCTGCGAACCCTTCAGCTGGGCAATGCCAAACGCTTTCTAGTTACCAGTAACCTCAGGATGTTGGCCGCCAATTGCCGCCAGCTTGAGAAACTGTCCTTCCAAGACTGCGAAGCTGATCTTCTAGTCCTGCCGCAATTCTCGAACCTTAGGTACCTGCAAATATACTGCCCAGAGGAACTAAAGACACGCTTTTTCAAAGCCTTGGCTAGAAGTCAGTGCTCCACACAGCTGGAGTATCTCATACTCCATCGGAAGCGCTGGATCAGCGAGGAGCAGGCCCAACACATCAGTGCCTTAAGGTCGCTAAGGTGGCTTGTTTGTAAGCCACGGGATGACTTGTGTGTTCGACACTTGGCCGAGCTCCGGCACCTGGAGTGCCTTTCCGTGCAAGCAGCCAGGGAAATAGGTGAATTTCAGCTCTCGCTGCTGGTGACCAACAACGAACAGCTGCGGTATCTGAACATCTGCTACTGCCTGGGAATCACAGATGCCTTCATCCTGGACACGCTTGGGAGTCTGGGCAGGCGAGTAGTCCACCAGCCAATGGAGCTCTTTGCCGCAGCCACCGACATCAGACACGATATTATGGAGAGGGTAAGTTCTCGCTTAATTCTAACTTTGGCTGAACATTTAAATTACGATTTTTCTTATTTAATTCAGCTGCCGTTAGAGTATCCACGAAAGATGCTCTGTCTGAACTTCGAGTGCAGCGAGGGAATGGCCAGCGGCGATCACTTCTATGCTGATGAACCGGAATTTGATCGCCAAGCTATATGAGCCTTGGTCGTTTGATTGTTAAACAAAGAATGTCCCTTTTTTCATCATTACCAAAAAGTCTAAACTAATATAATACTTCTTTATATCCAGCTTTATTAGTTTTTTTATCACTCTAAGTGGTATATGTTTTTTGTTATTGCACAACGATGTATTCACCTTGAGTATTCAATTAAGTCTTTTATTCGTATTTAATATACATATATATATATATATCAAATTCTCTTTTATATTCATTATTTGGGAGTTTAATAAGGAGAGAAGATAGATAGTTACAATTAATAACTTTTAAAAATAAAATCTTGGCAATTTTTACATCTATTTTGCATAATCGAAAAATTGATACCGTTGCAAAGTCTCGATATCGATTAATGCAATCACTAGTATTCGATAACTGTTACCAATCGACTTAACACAGAAGTTTGCTCACCTCTAATTCGAACAGAGGAAAAATTCTCCAGAGAAAATTCGAGTGGAAAAACGCCATTAGTGGGCCGCCAAGATGCTGTCCATGCTCCAGGAGAAGCGGCCGCTGAAGCGCACCCGCCTGGGGCCTCCGGACATCTATCCGCAGGACGCGAAGCAGCGCGAGGACGAGCTGACGCCTACCAATGTAAAACACGGCTTCACAACGACGCCGCCGCTGTCTGACGAGTTTGGGACAGCCCACAACTCGAATGTGAACGCCAGCAAGGTAAGTGCCTTCTTCAGCGGCGTGTTGGCCAAGAAGGAGGAACTAATGACGCTGCCAGATACGGGTCGCAAAAAGCAGCAAATCAACTGCAAAGACAACTTCTGGCCCGTGTCGCCGCGACGCAAGTGCACAGTGGATGCCTGGTTCAAGGACCTGGCTGGCAACAAGCCCCTCCTCAGCCTGGCCAAGCGGGCGCCCTCCTTCAACAAGAAGGAGGAGATCTTTATTACACTGTGCGAGAACCAGGTGAACATGCAACGTGCCACCTGGTTCATAAAGCTGAGCGCCGCCTACACGCTAAGCTTCACCGAGTCGAAGAACAAGAAGCGCAGCATCTACGACCCAGCCGCCGAGTGGACGGGCAACATGATCAAGTTCATGAAAGAGTTGCTGCCCAAGCTCCAGGAATACTACCAACAGGGTAAGAAATCTTGCGTCCATCACCTTGAGAGAATATGCATCATCTGACAAACATTTCCTTACAGCGCACAGCGACAAGAATACGACAAATGGCAGCACTCCAGGTAGCTTGACCGCCGTTGGAGCCGGTAGTGGGAGTGCTGGCACCAACGGTACCTCGGTCAATAGCTCCGGCAATAGCTCCGGCTGCAGTGCTCCGACAAACGTTATTCCAGTCCCCAGCATGGCTAGCCCTTTGCCACCGATACACAGTCCGGCAAATGGCCAGCAGGCCGGAGCTGGCGGCGTAGTTGGATCAGGAAGTGGTATCCTACCGGCGACGGGAGCCCTAGGAGGAGGACCAGCAGTCGGTGGTGGCGTTAGCGGTGCCGGGACATCAGTGGTCGGTGTCGGGAGCGCCACAGGTGTGGGAGCTACTGTGCCGCCCGGCTCCAGTATATCGGGTATCGGGAGCCAGTTCGAGGACAGCCGGAACGCCCTTAAGTACTGGAAGTACTGCCATCAGCTGAGCAAGTACATGTACGAGGAATCACTGCTGGACCGCCAGGAGTTCCTCAACTGGATACTCGACCTTTTGGATAAGATGCGTACACAGGCGAGCTTTGACGAGCCACTAAAGAAGCTGGTGCTTAGCTTCGCCCTTCAGTATATGCACGATTTCGTGCAGTCGGAGCGGCTCTGCCGGAAGATGGCCTACATAGTGTCCAAGAAACTAGCCCAGTTGCTCAACACAGCCGTGGAGCAGCAGGCCATCAAGGAGCTGGAAGAGCACAAGCTACAGCAGCAGCAGCCGCACGAACACCACCACGATCCCTATGAGCTGGCGCTGCAGGAGCAAATGAGTTGTCCGCATCACCGGGATATAGTGCTCTACCTGAGCACCATTCTTCAGATCATCACCATCGAGTGCCCCACGGCCCTGGTGTGGAGCGGAATAGCAGCACACCGAGCACCTTCCTCGCTGCTGGGCAGTCCGCTGGACCACCTGCCGCTGGCACCGTCCGTGCTACCAATGCCCACGCGTTGTCCGCGAACCAACCAGGAAATAAGGCGGCAGCTGCGCGCGGCCGAGTCGGACATTGTGTTGCGCACCCAGCACGCGGAGCAGCGCTGGTTCGCCGCCAAGTGGCTGAGTGCGGGCAAGAACCACTACACCAGCGTTTTGGCCACGCTGGACCGCTTGGACACGCACTGCTTTGACCGCATGGAACACAACAACAGCATAGACACCCTCTACGCGCACATCTTTCCCAGCACCAGCGCCGCCAGTCGACGGCGCGAAGAGGAGCAGCAAGACTCGCAGCAGCAACAGATGCGTCCGGCCTATGAGCCCAAGCAGGACAAGGACACGGTGCGTATTCTGTGCGAGTGGGCTGTCTCCGGCCAGAGGTGGGGTGAGCACCGGGCCATGGTGGTGGCCATTCTGCTGGATAAGCGCCAGATCGACGTTACCAGCACTCCGGCTGACCAGCAATCCAGCGACAAGGAGGACAAGGACTCGCTGGCCTCAGGAGCCGGCCTGATTGATGGCTTGCCCGTGTTTCAGCACGTCCTGATGAACTTCCTCGACCACGATGCCCCCATTTTGGACGAGCACTCGAGCAGCAGTCAGCAACGAACCGAGTTCACCAATCTCGTTCAGCTGTTCAGCGCCTTGATCCGTCACGATGTGTTCTCGCACAACGCTTACATGCATACGCTCATATCGCGGGGAGATCTTCTGCTGGAGTCCGTCCTGGTCAGCAAGTCGGTCACAACGGCGACAAAGACCTCGCCACCGCCGCCGGCTCCGCCACCAACGACACATGGCTTCGACGACGACGGCTTCGGCGGGGGCATTGATTTCAAGCACAACGAGTACGACGACTCCAATGTGGACGACGATCTAGACAAGCTGGTGCAGAATATCAAAGAGAAGGGTCAGCAGCACGAGGCGCCGGACAGCCCTAAGATCGGACCGTCGCCGGTCGATGGAGACACCAGCACAGGAGCTGGTACCGGCACCGGCACTGGCGGCAGCATTTCGCGCCACTACGTGTACACCAAACACTTTCCCATTCCGCAGGACGACCCCAGCATGAGCAGCTACAGCAGCGAAAGCAACCAGCGCTATATCTTACTCTTCGGTGTCGGCAAGGAGCGCGACGAGAAGAAGCACGCCGTGAAGAAGATGTCTAAGGAAATTGGCAAATTGTTCACCAAAAATTCAGCATCGACGTGGCCGCCGCCGGACATGTGAAGAAGCACTCGCGCAACGAGTTCAACTTCGAGGCCACCACGTCCAAGTGCCAGCAGATGGCCTACTTCGACCAGCACGTGGTCACCGCCCAATGTGCAGCCAACGTTCTGGAGCAGCTCAACGGCTTTGCCCTGGGTAACAACAACTATCTCCCGGTGCAGGAGCACGTGGCCTTCCTCTTTGACCTAATGGAGCTGGCCCTTAACATCTACAGCTTGCTGGAGCTGTGCGACAGCCTGCTAAAGGAGCTGCCCGAGGTGGAGCACCAGCTGCAGTCGAAGAAATCCAATCTCGTACGCAGCTATACCACCTCGCTGGCCCTCTATATCGTCAGCATTCTCAGGCGCTACCACAGCTGCCTGCTGCTCTCGCCGGAGCAGACTCTGTCTGTGTTTGAGGGCGTCTGCCGCACAATCCGGCACGTGACCAATCCCAGCGAATGCTCGTCTGCAGAGCGCTGCATCATCGCCTACCTGAGCGACCTGCACGAGTCCTGCGTCCTACTGCAGGGCAAGGAACAATCCACGGAGTACTACCAGCAATTGCAGTGCATCAAGCGCTTCAAGGATATCTTCAATACGCCCGAGCAACTAAGGTGAGTTCGTATAAATTGATAAGGTTTTACCTAACTCCACCCTTTCCATTACCACAGCCTACCGCCGCAAGGCTATAATCCCCAGTTGCTGCAGGAGCTGTTCATGGCTCCTCGGCGTGGTGGTAAGCTGGATCCACACTGGCTAGGAACGCTGCACGAGTCACCGGCAAACGTCTACAGCTTCGTTTCTAACGCCCTGATCGCTGTATGCCGCGAGACGGACAACGAGAGGCTGAACGATGTGGCTCTGGCCTGTGCCGAGCTCACGGCCAGCTGCAACGTGCTGTCCGAGGAGTGGATCGCTGCGCTGCAGAGCCTGTGCAGCGGCAGCAAGAGCCCCCGGTATCCACACCTCGGTGGTCAGGTGGACATTGGCCAGGGCAAGACGCACAACGCTTTGGCCGTCTTCGTGTGCATTCTAGTGGCCAGGCACTGCTTCTCACTGGCGGACTTTGTCAGCAAATTCGCTCTGCCGACCCTAGCACGATCGGTGAGCGCTGGTGGTGCCGAGTTAAGCGTGGACGCAGAAGCTGGGGCGAGACTTACCTGTCACTTAGTGCTGAAGCTGTTCAAGACGCTGGAGATCCCGCAACCCGGTATGTATTCAGTGAGCACGTCGCCCAATCCCCTGCACGCTGTGGGAAACAACGACTTTAGTATTCGGCTGAGCTGCGACCGCCACCTACTGGTGGGGGCACACAAGACCATTCCCATAGCCGCTGTTCTGGCTGTGCTCAAGGCCATTCTCATTGTGGTGGACAATGCGGCGCTCAAGACTCCCCTAGCCGCTGGCAGTGGATCCTCTTCCTCGTCGGCTGGAGGTGCCTTTGGCAGCGGCAAGCGCAGCGGCGGCTTTAACACCCCGGTACATCCCGGTAGCACGCCGAAGAGCAACGAACAGCGACCGGCCGATCTCAGCCAGATCCTCGGCACCAGTGATCTTCAGCTGGGCAGTAGTCTAACCAGCGAGCCGGAATCGTTGCAACCGCAGCCATCCAGTGGCGGTCTGGAGCAGATATCCCTGCTGGAGTTCGCCCAAGCCGTACTCAAACAGATCTGTGCTCAGGAACATGTCCTCGAGCGCTGTCTCAAGAACGCCGAGCAGCTTTGCGACATGATCATCGACGAAATGTTAACGGCCAAGCAAGCGCAACGCGTGCTGCACATGATATGTTATCCGGAGGCAGAGTTTAACATCATATCCGAGCTGGATCAGCGTTCGATGATCGTCCGCATTCTGGAGAACCTGGGCCAGTGGACCCTCCGGATCTCCTGGCTGGATCTGCAGCTCATGTATCGCCAATCGCTGAGCAACAACGCAGAGCTAAACGTCTGGCTGGATACAGTGGCCCGGGCTGCCATCGATGTCTTTCACATGGAGGAGGTCGTCCTGCCGGGTGCCCTGAAGGCGACGCATAAGCCCAAGCCCTCCACTTGGCTGGTGGCACCGCTGATCGCAAAGCTAACGCCGGCGGTGCAGGGCAGGATACTGCGCGTAGCTGGCCAGGTGCTGGAAAGCATGAATTACTTCTCCAAGGTGTCAAAATCTGATTGTAACAGCTCGGGAAGCGGCGACGAGCGCGAGAAGAGCAACAGCTGCCACAGCAGCAACAGTTACGGCCTGGGTGGCGTAGCGGCGCGCAACAAGAAGATGCCGCTCAACTACCAGCCCTTTCTGGGACTTATCCTCACCTGCCTAAAGGGTCAGGACGAGTACAAGGAGAATCTCTTGGTCTCTCTCTACGCCCAGCTCTCCCAGTGTCTGCAGTCCTTTGCCGAGGTGAGTTTTTAGTCTTTTTCTCTTCCACCTTGAACTCCTTTTCTAAACGACTACCCTTTGCACCTTGCAGCTGGACACGATTGGAGGTATCGATGAACCCCAAGCACGGGAGGAGATCCTGGATGCCCTGCAGCTGCGCTTCTCACTGGTAGGTGGCATGTTTGAGGCCATTCAAAAGAACAGCACGCCGACCACCGACTGGGCCATTCTGCTGGCACAACTAGTGTGCCAGGGCGTTGTGGACCTCAGCTGCAACCGAGAGCTCTTCACCACCGTGGTGGACATGCTGGCCACCTTGGTGCACTCAACACTGGTCTCCGACGACGAGCGGCACTACATGAACCTGATGAAGAAGCTGAAGAAGGAAATTGGTGAGAAGAACAACGCCTCCATCCGGGTCATACGGCAGCTGCTGCCGCTCTACAAGCAGCCTACCGAGGTGATTGCCTGCGAGCACGCCGGTATGGACACTAAAGGCAACAAGATTTGCGACATGGACAAGAAGCAACTGCGCATCTCGGATAAGCAACGCATAAGCGTGTGGGACATCCTCGAGGGCCACAAGAACCCGGCTCCGCTTTCGTGGGTTTGGTTCGGTGCCGTGAAGCTGGAGCGGAAGCCCCTGACCTATGAAGAGGCGCACCGCAATCTCAAGTACCATACGCACAGTCTGGTCAAACCCAGTAGCTACTACTATGAGCCTTTGCCGCTGCCGCCCGAAGACATTGAGCCTGTGCCGGAGAAGATATGCATAGTAAGTCAAACTAATGGTTGAAGGTGGTACAGACTCTTACAGTCTCTTTTTTTGCAGAAGGACGAAATGAAGGCGGACACGCCCTCGTCAGTTGATCAGTCCCCCAGCGCCGTTGTCGGCGGCACAGGACGAGGTCGGGGCAAGGGCACTGGGACGCGGAAGCGGAAGCCCAAGAATGCAAAGACTCCGCCTGTGCAGCAGCAGCAGCAACAGCCACAGCTGGCGCCCCAGCCCCAGCAGCCATCAAATGTTCAGCAACAGCAAATGCAGCAACAGCAGCAACAGCAACAACAACAGCAGCAGCAGCAACAACTGCAACAGCAACAGCAAATGCAGAACAATCCCATGGGTCAGATGCCGATGAATATGCCGGTAAGAAATTTTAACAAAAACTTTGTTTAGGTGCCTTTAGCCGAGAGAGAGGGATATCTCAATGTCATCTAACATATTGTATTCCACAGATGAACATGCAACAGTTTGCGCCCAATCCGAATAACATGATGCAGCAGCAGAACGCCATGATGCAGCAACAGCAGCAGATGCAACAGATGGGCAACAACCAGCAACTGCAGCAGCAGTTGAACGTGGGTGGTGGCAATGGACAGCAAAATCCGCAAATGAACTTCATGCAGCAGGGACCGGGTGGCGGTGGCGGAGGCGGTGCGCCGCAAGGAGGAATGCCTGGCCAGCAGCAGCAACAGCAATGGCACAATGCACCGCAGCAACAGCAACCGCCACAGTCGTACATCAACCAGTACGCCCCGCACCAACAGGGAATGCAACGTAAGATTGCTTGCTCAGATCTAGATCTAGATGAACTAACATACCACATATCTTTCAGCTAATCGCATCGAGAGGCCGCCTTTGAATGCAAACTCCAAGCAAGCTCTGTCCCAGATGCTGCGACAGCGTCTGCCCTTCCAGCAGCAGCAACAGCAACAACAGGGGCCCGGCGGTGGTGGCGGCGTCTTCAACCCGATGCAACAGCAACCGCAACCCTCGCAACAGCAACAGCAGCAGGTACCAGGACCACAGCAGCAGATGAATCCCAACCAGATGCGGCAGCAGCAACAGATGAATCCCCAGCAGAATCCGCAAGCTGTGGCCGCCTTCAATGCCATGCAGCAACAACAGCAGCAGAACGCCCAGCAACAGCAGCAAATGAATCCCAACCAGCAGCAGCAACAGCAGCAGTTCATGCGCGCCGGCAACATGCGACCCGGTATGGCTCCAAACCAGATGAACCAAATGAATATGGGCGCCCAGGGCATGCCGCAGAACCCGATGATGCAGCAACAAATGTCGCAGGGCATGGTGGGAATGGTCAATCCAAATGGCAACCAAATGATGCAGGCCGGCGGCGGAGGCCAAGGCGGCAATGGAGTCGGTGTTGGAGTCGGTGTGGGCGTGGTTGGAGGCGCCGTTGGGAACAATCCCAACATGGGCATGGGCGGAATGCCGCAGCAGGGAATGATGCAGCAGCAACAGCCCCAACAGCAGCCGCAGCAACAGGTGCAGTTCCAGAATTTCCAGAATCAATACCAACAGCAGCAGCAGCAGCAGCAGGGTATGCAGCAACAAGGCAATGGAGCAGGCGTCGGCGTAGGAGTGGGCATGACGCCCAACCAGCAGCAACAGCAGCAGGCCAACATGATGGGGAACTTCAATCCGCAGCAGATGCAGCAGGCGAACCGGAACAATCCCGACTTCATGGCGGTGGCAGCGGCTGCTCAACAGCAGCGCGGTGTTCCCGGCGGCATGATGGCTGGAAACAGGGGCCAGTATATGAACCAGGCACCCAACGTAACCATGTCAAACATGATGGGTCCGGGACCAGGAGGACAAGTGGTTGGCGGTCAGGTGCCTCCGTACGCCAGGCAGCAGCCAGCGGGCGGTGGCAAGCCGGGTGTGCTCAACACGCAGCAACAGTTCCAGCAGCAGCAACAACAGCAGCTGAGGCACCAGCAAATGATGCAGATGCAGGGAATGGGCTCTGGACCGCAGCAGGCCGGCGTCGGTGCTGGTGGTGGCGGCGTCGGTGTCGGCGGCGGGGGTGGCATGGTGCCACAGCAGCAGAGCATGAACCAGCAGCAGACCCCGAACCTGGTGGCCCAGCTGCAAAGGCAGAATATGATGGGCCAGCAGCAGCAGTATCAGCCGCCGCCCTATTAGATCGTAGGACACACTCCTTAATTGTAAGCTTACTTAGTTTTAATCATTTATTTATCTCAGATGTATTTGCAATAAACGTTCAAATATGTTCAATTTAATTTAATTGTGAAAATGTAACGTGGAAAAGTAAAAAATGTATAATACGCATATTTATTATAATATTTTAACTATAAAAAGGAAAAGCTTACTTTACCAAGCCGAAATTAGATTACCCTTGCATTTTGCGATAGGATCACGAAATCAAATGAAAATCTACCATAACTTAGCCAAAAATGCATTAATTTCAATTCGGAAAGCAATTCTGTGCTAGTTTTTATTAGCTCAATAAATCGGCGTACTAAATTTAAAATTTAAGAAAATTAAAATTATTAATTAAAAAAAAAACGATGCAACCCCTTATAAAAATTTGAAAAATTTAGAAAATTTATTTTTTGTCCGGACATGGCTAGATCGACTCGGCTATTGATGCCGATCAAGAATATATATGATTTATAGGGTCGGAAACGATTCCTTCACTGCATTGCAAGCTTCTGCATGAAATTCTAACACCCTGCAAGGGTATTAATTAAGAAAAAACTTGTCTTAATACATTTAATCATGTTATTAAATTTATATTTATTATTGTATAATTATTTTCTATTTTAATTGTTTCTTTAATTTGCTATAAAAGAATTTAATTTCGATTGTGCTCATTTTGTTATCGGAGAGTCATCGGTTTCTTGTTCATCTCTAATCAGCTGTGCAATGCGCTGGTATGCGTGGGTGTATGTGTACGTGTTTGTGAGCCAGTGGATTAGAAATAATACACAGTTTTCGTGAGAATAGTCGGCCGATTAGCTTAATTAGAACTAAGTTTAAAGTTAATTAGTGCAATAATACCATTCTCCCTGGCCGGACATCTATGTAGAAAGCGGACAAACGTCCGCATATCGCGTTCGTGGCAGCTTTCATTCATCGAAGTGTGACTTTTCGCAGTATTGTTTGCTATTGCTCGGCAGGAGGACGTGCTGTTTAGTGGGTCAAAACGTTCCATTGCATGCCCAGACATGAGCGAGGTTCCGGAGAGCAGTAAAAAGCGTCAAAAGACGGTGAGTACTATTTACTAGACATGGCGTCCATAGAAAGAAAGCCATAGCAAACATTCTGTTTGAACAAGTGTCCCCAACCTTCCTCCTCCCTCCGCTTGGTGGGAGCAGCAGGCGTCGGGTGGATAAATTGATCGCTGTATTTGAACAGCCTTTGGCTAATGCCTCCTCCTCCATCGACCATATGGAGACACGTAATACGCAAAGTACTATTGGAATTTACGCCCCTTTTAATCGAAATCTTATCTGTGATGATGAATAATAGGGTAGCTAACGCCATTTCGGCATCTACGACAGGTCACATAGCTTCAACCTTATAAACTATGCATTGCGCTGCTAACATTCCATATTCATTTAAGTTTATAGTTTCTATATACCGAAGGCCTTAGTGCAAGCCACAAAAATGTCTAGTATGCAAATATGTTCATCAAAAGATTGTTTAATCAGCACAAGCCTTATCTTTCGACTCAATTGAAAGTGCACACCTTTCAATTTCGCATTCCGAACTGTTAATTAAGAATTATGTACTTACTATTCTGAAATTCATTAAGGTACTGATCGGAAAATACAAATATTGTACTTGAAAGAGCTACAAATATTTAAAACTATTTCAATAGTCCATAATTTAAATTTTCTTCGTGCTAAGCGCTTAATATAAGATATAGTTTACAACCCCCCAGGTGCAGATACTTCACAATCTTTAAACTAAAAGCTAATAACATTGTTTTACGACTCTTGCGCAACATAATACAACTGGGTACATATTTCCTTAGTGGCGTCAACTGGTTACCACAGCAAATGTTATTACTTTGGCTTAAACAGGTTCAAATTAGAAAGAAAGTCTTCCGCGGCAACTGCTGCAGTCGCACAAGCGAATTGTAAACAAGTTGGCGAGATGAACTCCTCCTCTTGGCCAGGCTGTGAAAACTTGGTCAACAGGCCAAGCCAGCGACATCTCGCTGGCAAGTTGAATGACCACAGAGTTATGCTCTTGTCTCTTTGAATCATACTCATACCAACAAAATTTAGCAATTATTTGGCAAAATATCTTCCTTGTAATAATATTAAGTGTTAATAAGATATAAATCGTTGGACATTTGTTTATTTAATTGTGGGTTTTTATTGCCCTTTTAACTTAAGCATTACGTGCTGACTTTAATGAAGGGAGATTACTTAACTAAATGACTTTTGCAATGGAAATAATTAAACAGAGTATGCCAGTATAACTTCTCTTAATTATTATTAACCTTAGTTAAAGATAAAACCCCATCAAGATTTGATTAGTTTAATAATTATTAATAATTAATTTCTTTTTATTTTTTTTAGTTGGGTTTCAAACGATTTAATCGACTAAATAGTCCAAAGTCCTGGGTTATTTTGGTTACTGCAAACAATCGTAGTACTAAATTAATATAGATTTAAATTCTAGGCGTCGCCTACATCCAAAAATGATCATGTGTACTTAGCTGTTTTGCTTGCAATAAAAAACAAAACGAAATATCTTAGCCAAACACATTCATAAACAAGTTCTTATATGGGCCAGTTCCACCCAACATTACCCTCTCCGCCAGTGAAGGAGATCTCTGGCAAGTGCCAACGTGTAGAGTTGCCTCTCTGCCTCTGGTCTTGGGTTTTCCTGCATTCCCAGCCCCAGTCGCAGACGCAGCCCGTGAAATTTCAGTTGCAGTTTTGAGCTTCGGCGAGAAAGTTCAGCGTTTTTTGGCGTTCTGTGTCTCTGGTTCGGGACTGGGGCGGTGCTGCGACTCGGAAACTCTCACTTGGTTAATTATCAAAGAGTACATATTGTTGAGTTAGTCTCCCGCTTTCTTTTCACTCGACCAGCGTTTGTTTCGATTGTGAAAAATGTTTACCCGATGTGCCAATTCGCTTGGCCACTATAACAATAACAATACCACTGCCTGTTTCTCTTCCCCGAAGATCTGTCCGCCATGTGTGGCGGAAAAGCCAGGTGATGCGGTAAGTTCCATGAAGCATCATGTTGGCCAGGGATTGTGTTAAATATATACTTGAGAACTGTATAGATGTATGTCATTTTATATCCATTATCTCATGGCCAAAGAAACCAAATAGTAATCTATCAAAATGATAAAACGAAGGCGAGTAAAGAACCAAAACAGAGATATAACGATGAACAACAAAAGATAGAAAAGACTGTGCAAACATTTTCTCCATATGGGGGAACCTTGAGAGTGGAAATGATGCGAGCGTGAAACGTCAATCGAGAGACCAGAGTGAGATTATAGCGATGATTATGGACTCTACTACTCGAAAGCGACCTCTCTCCTCCGCCTCACACTCTTCTCTTGGGAGCTCCCAGTACCTTTTCAGGCGGAGCTCGCCATATAAACACCGTAAATATTATTGAAAACTTTCAGTTCGCTTTCAACGCTCGTCGCGTGTCGTCAGTCCATGACGGAAACCGTTTCGCATCTGTGAGAGTTTTGTTTTAAGCGCCCAAATCTGTTAGTTTAGCAACAGATCGAGAGAAATAGAACAGCTCCCTCCCACCAATCAATTGTCTTAGAGAAGCGTTCAACAGAAACCATGCCGAATCCCCCAATTGGATTTTATCCCCACATAAAGAGAAGGGTAAGATCCTAAGGAGATTTAACGATAAGCCATAGAGATATTAGATATACCCAGCACAGCACAAAAGCGTCGGACAGATAGTAGAAACTAACTTATTCTGATTAAAACCTATATCAACGAAATCATTAAGAGCGAAAAGGGAAACTACCATTTGTGTTGAGAGTGAGAGATCAGCGAATGGATCTGCCTCAACCTGGCAGAGTGACCCAGTTTTAAATCACTTGCAAAGTACGCAGAAATAATAAGTTTACTGTGGCATATATTATTAATAATGTGAGCTTTGTAAAAACAATTTAGTTTTAAACAAGAATGGAAACTAACTTTGGGAAGCCCATGTTTAAATACCCTTGCATTTTGCAAAATAATCGAAGCTCGATCAAACATTTTTCTGGGAAAAATCAAAGCTTAACAAACTCATAACTGCGTTAAAAACGCAGTTATTTTAATTCGAAATTAATTTTAAACCATATATTTCTGATAATTTTCAAACGAAACAAGCCAAATCTAGCAAAGAATTTTGGTAGTTACTATACATTTCTTAATTCTATATAATATGGAGTATATGGCTTCTAATTAAAACATATGTATATCCATAGTTTACAAAGGTAATATTTCTTGTTTTGGAGTAAAATTACACACAACCAAGACAAGTTATAAATAACGACGAACACTATTCACTTGGAAATAGAGACCCAACTGAAAGATAGAGACCCATCATCCGTATCGCAAAATTCATTCCAGATTCTGCACACACGAGCTTTGGCTTCGGCTTCGGTTCTGACTCCCAGCTCCGGCTGCGGAAGGTCAACAAACTGAGCTCTGAAGAGCTAGCTCAGCAGGAATTATCGCCCTGGGGTCAAAAGCGAACTATTTCAATGGGGCTCGGAGTTCTTAGGTTTACATTTTTGGCTTTGTGGCCGGCAAAAGCTGAAAAGAACCGCCTCCGGCAGAGGCAATCTCTTGACATGAATATTAATTTATGATAATTTCGAAAGCTAAACCCGATTTTTGTTCCTCTGTTGTGCTTGCAGTGTCTACAGGTGGCAACGAATGTGACCGAACAGAAGCACCATGTCACCCGGGAGACGCGAGGCAAGAATTTGGGCCTCTGTCGAGGCTTCCGAGGATGTACCGTGTGGCTAACTGGTGAGTGTGGAAAAGGGTTCTTGTTGACACACAAGTTTCCAAAGAATTTGGACTTTATCTTAACGTTACCCATATTTATCGCAGGACTCAGTGGCGCCGGCAAGACCTCTATCGCCTTCGAGCTGGAGGCCTATTTGGTGTCCCGTGGCATCCCCGCTTATGGGCTGGATGGCGACAACATCCGTACTGGGCTGAACAAAAATCTGGGATTCACGCCCGCCGAGCGCGAGGAGAACATCAGACGAGTGGGCGAGGTGGCCAAGCTGTTCGCAGACAGCGGCGTTGTGTCCATCTGCAGCTTCGTGTCCCCCTTTGCCGATGACCGCGAGATGGCGCGCAAGATTCACAAGGATGCAGGCCTCAAGTTCTACGAGATCTTTGTGGACACACCGCTCGACGTGTGTGAGACGCGCGACGTCAAGGGACTGTACAAGAAGGCGCGCGAGGGCGTAATTAAGGGCTTCACGGGCATCACGCAGGAGTACGAGCGACCCCAGAAGCCAGAGCTGGTGGTCAACACGCACGGATACACAGTGCGCGAGTCCATGCAGCAGCTAGTGGCCCTGCTCGAGCAGGAAGGCATCATTCCGCGCTCTCTTCGCGACGTAGACCAACTGCCAGAGCTATATCCCAGCGAATCCATTGCCACGGAGGTGCTGCGCCACGAAGCCGAGTCGCTGCAGGCCATTGAGATCAGCACCGTGGAGCTGCAATGGGTCCAGGTACTGGCCGAGGGCTGGGCTTATCCCCTGCGCGGATTCATGCGCGAGGACGAGTACCTGCAGACGCTGCACTTCAATACACTCCAAAGCGGCTTGGATGGTTCCTATCGCGAGAATCACTCGGTACCCATTGTGCTCAGCGCCTCAACGGCGGACAAGGAGCGCCTGGACGGGGCTTCCTCGTTAACACTCAAATATCAGGGCAAGGCAGTGGCTATTCTACGCCGGCCCGAGTTCTATTATCAACGCAAAGAGGAGCGCCTGGCCCGCCAATTTGGCACAAGCAATCCGGAACATCCGTATAGCAAGCAGGTCTATGACTCTGGAGAGTATCTGGTTGGTGGCGATCTGGCTGTGATTGAACGAATTCGCTGGGAGGATGGTCTAGATCAATACCGGCTGACGCCAAACGAGCTTAGGCGTCGCTTTAAGGAGCTTAACGCCGACGCCATCTTCGCCTTCCAACTACGGAACCCGATCCACAACGGACATGCCTTGCTCATGCAGGATACCCGACGCCAGCTCCTGGAGCGTGGCTTCAAGCAACCAGTGCTCCTGTTGCATCCCCTCGGCGGCTGGACCAAGGACGATGACGTGCCGCTGGACGTGCGTATGAAGCAGCATCAGGCTGTTCTAGACGCAGGTGTTCTGCGACGCGAAGACACTGTGTTGGCCATCTTCCCCTCGCCAATGATGTACGCCGGCCCCACGGAGGTGCAGTGGCACGCCAAGGCACGCATGAATGCCGGAGCCAACTTTTACATCGTAGGACGAGATCCGGCGGGTATGCCTCATCCAGACAAGAAGGCCTATCCCGATGGCAACCTGTATGACGCCACCCATGGAGCGCGTGTGCTTAAAATGGCCCAGGGCTTAGACAGCATGGAGGTGAGTGGGAGAAGGGCACTTGATCAATGTAATTATGGTATTTCACGTTTTATTCTTTTTGTAGATCCTTCCCTTCCGGGTGGCCGCCTACGATAAGAGTGCCAGCAAAATGGCCTTCTTTGAGCCTCAACGCAAGGACGACTTTGAGTTTATCTCGGGGACCAAGATGCGTACCTTGGCCAAAACTGGAGCGAGTCCTCCGGACGGTTTCATGGAGCCCGAGGCGTGGCGCATCCTATCTAACTACTACCAGAACCTGCCGCAGGCGTAACAGGCGGCAACATATGCCGGCAACCAGCAACGTGCAATTCCTCCTTCTAGTTATTAGCTTATGTGTGTGCTTAACCTTTTTTTGAAATTTATGGCCGCTATTTCAGAGTTATCTTTATCACAAGGAGAAAAGGAAGAGGCGAGCATAGCCACAGATGATTGTGTGCTGTTAGTTGTAACTTCTTCCTTCCCTTAATAGGGATATTATCTTACTTATTACAAAAGCATTCAGACCAAAATCCGAGCCTGTGTCCTGTCGTGTGTATATGTTTGTATGTTGTGCTCCCTGCTATTGAAACGTTCGTATCGTACAATCTACTTGTATCTTCTACACCTAAGTTTTCCCCATTCTTTGTTTATCTTAAGCTAAATGTCGTCCAACTATTTGTGGACCGTTTTTTTAAATACATATATAACAAATTAGTTAAGAAAGAGTTTTATTAACACTCAATTATATTATTAGTGAGAGAGTTTCAACATTGGTTGATTTGATTCTTATGTTTTTAGGCAGAATTATATACCTTTGCAGAGAGTAATGTAATTTTAATCAATGAAGAAGTCATTTCAGACCCTACAAATCATATATATTATTAATCAGCATTATTAGCCGAGTCGATCTAGCCATGTCCGTTAAAATTTTTTTTTTTCAAAAAACTAAAAATAAAAGTTTGGTTTAAATTGTAAACTCTCAGGGTATTCAAATTCGGCTTCCCAAAGGGATCTTATTTTCCTGTTTTTTTTATATATATATAAACTGATAGCTTATCGCGCACCATAGTCCAACCCCGATTTCTTATACTTTTATTCAGATTGAATTAGGATTTGCTCCCATTATGTTGTTTTATACAATGCATTTGCTTTCGAATCTGGTGCTAATCATCCTCTTGATCTGTTTGTTCGGATCTTTTCTTAAAGAAACTTCCTCTCAAAGTTTACAGAACGATGATCTTATTGTAAGTAGATTTTAGTAAAGAACTGGGAATTTGTATAATACTTGTTGATACCACAGATAATTGAACAAATTAACAATGAAGCTGCCAACGGAATCGAGGGCTCCGACTCTACGGAACAAATCAAATCGCTCCAGATGTCAATAGATACCTTAAATAACATCATCGTAGAGGCCAGAGCGGACCGAGCCTCTCTCAACGAGATTAAAAATCAAATGGTCGAATGGCATAACATAATTGTGTCTATAGAACAGAAAAACTTGGAAGCTGATAATCTTCTGAAGACGCAGCTCGACCTCAACGACACATGGAGAAGCTATAACGAGAGAATAGCCAATAAAGAGGCAGATGTTGAGAAGCTGAAGCAGGAAATTGAAGTCCTCCAGAGAAAGGCCCAGGAGGATGCCGTAACTATTAGGGAGCTCAGGGAACAGCTGGAGACGCAGACACTTCTCGCTGCAGAGTGCCTGGAATGGTTCCAACAGAGCGGAGTCCAGCCTTCCGGATGTTTGCTTGTCGGTCAGAGAACGGCCATACAGACCATTCAGATTCCAGGAATCCATGATCCCTTCTCAGTTCTTTGTGATGCCGATATTGTCGGACCCGGTTGGACAGTCATTCAGAGACGCCTGGACGGCTCGGAGGATTTCTACAGAAACCTAAGCGATTACCGAATGGGCTTCGGAAACTTGACTGGGGAGTTCTTCATTGGCCTGGACAAGCTCCACCAGCTAACGAAACTCCAGCAGCACGAATTGTTTGTGCGCCTCCAGTTCTTTAATGGATCCACCAAGTTTGCCCGCTACGACAACTTCCTGGTGGGTGGGGAGCATGAGGACTTTGCTCTCTTAAGTATTGGTGAATTTAGTGGAAGTGCACCAAACGCTCTGGTGTGGAATCTCAATCGAAGGTTTAGCACTCTTGACAACGACAAGGATCAGATCATCAACAGGAATTGCGCAGAGGATTGCCACGGGGCCTGGTGGTACAGTTTTTGTGGTGACACGTAAGAAAATGTTTCTTTAAAATAAATTCATTATTAAAAACTTGCACTTTACAGGAATCTTAATGGTAAATACTATCTCGAGAGAAAAATCCGTGGTGAGGACAATATTATGTGGGCCAAAAGCCATAACATTATATCGGTGGATATGTTAATCCGTCCTAAACTTACTAATTCATAAAACTCTGAAATTCAATTACGCTACAAACTAACTCCTTTTTTTGCCATATAATAAATAAACCTTTCAGTAAGAACTTCTATTCAAAACTAGCTGTACCCTGCCACGTTTCTCTGTGGCATATTATGGTTAAGAGGGCACTTCTAAATACATCAATGTTCCGGCAAAATCATCTTCCTGGCATAAGGTGAAGAAGGCAGTCAGAGTTGTCGCTGGCGGATTCAGGACTCTTTCTTGCACATTTCTTTCTGTGAAATAGATACGTTGACCATTCTCCAAATAGACTGCCAAGTGAACTAAAGCTGGATAGCGTTCATGAATGGGGAACGAAAAAATTCTCCATGCAACCTCGTTGCTGCTTATGTATCTTCCAGCCTGGTATTGAGATATTTCATCGACAACTCGTACTGCATTGCTGTCACCATTTTCTGCCTGAACACCAAAAACTGCCATATCGCTGCCTTTATTCACGTACTTGCAGATATATTTAATCGATTTCACGGAATTGCAATATTCTACGTTGATGTGCGCTTTGTATGATTTTGACAATAGTGGTGAGTATGGAATCACCAATTCTCATGTTTAAAGTTGCCGAAGTTCCTCCATCTTCAGTTGACCGTCTCCTATACAGAGGATATCCATCGTCCTCTGTTACGGTGTTGGCTGTAAATGCTCGAGGATATCGCTTGGAACACTTCCCGTCTACCATGCATGGTGAACTTCGGTTGAGGGTACCACATGGGCCATGGATCATGTTCTTGATGACAACTGCATGCAAATCTGTATCAACCTCTGCCCGTGGAATCTCAGCGCATATCACATTGTCAATTTCGTCTGGAGTAATTTTATCATACAGCCAAATCAGTATGTGCGCATGCGGCAATCCTCTCTTCTGCCATTCTACTGAATACATCCAGCACCGCTCAGATCCCAAAACTCCATGTTTCACAATGAAATCCATCAGTGACTTGAGCTTTTGTCTAAAAACACGGGCTGTGATGTCATGCCTATCCCTATATGATTGTCCAGGAAATAACAGCTGAACTATCTCGTCCCAAGCTGGATTGCATGTGAAGGTGATAAATAAGTCTGGACGGCCGTAGCAACGAACATATGCCATGGCATCTTGAGCATATTCATGCATGTGGCTCGGACTACCTATGTATGAGGATGGCAAAATCGTGAGCTTTCCAACGTTGGTTGTATTACGGTCATTCATCACAGCATCCCGCAAATGGATATATTCCTCGGACCGAAGTTTCTTCTGATTCAATCGGAGGAACAGCAAACGTTGTTTCAATTTTTGCATACATATCGACAATGTACTGATGAAAAAACTGACATTTCAATATATGATTGCAATCAGTCCTCCGAACCATTAACCTGTATGAGTAAAAGTTCATCGCGCAGCCGCGTCTCTCGGATGGAGGCCCATTCTTCGTCAGTCATAGTCGTAATCTTACGTCTTTTTGCTTCTGTATTGCGAATACGACGACCCAATCTCGACTTCTTTGGTGGCATGACTTCGTTTCTTACTGAACCTGAACAAAAAAATAAAATTTGTATCTCCAATTTCTTCTTTCAACATGTTTTGAATGTTTGACAGGAAATGCTTTGATTTGCTTGTAGAGGGCGCAGTAGTAGGGGCACGGGGAAACGCTAAAAAATAGATATATTCGCAACCGCAGATAAGCTATCAACATCAAAAGTAGTCAATAACCGAGCTGGAACCTCAACGCATGTTCTCTAAAAATTTGGGCATAAACGGTTCAGAACTTTTCAAGTTTCTTCTTTCAATATGTTTTGAATGTTTGACAGGAAATGCTTTGATTCAGCTGGCTGCCTGTAGATGGCGCAGCAGTAGGGGCACTTGGAAACGCTAAAAAAATAGATATATTCGCCACCGCAGATAAGCTATCAACATCAAAAGTAGACAATAACCGAGCTGGAACCTCAACGCATGTTGTGTAAAAATTTGGGCTTAAACGGTTCAGAACTTTTCGAGTCTATGAAGGATGTAGACACGAACAGAGCATTTTTATATATATAGATTAAAAACAATAAAAGATTAATAAAAAAAAGTGCTTTAATAGATCCCAAACAAATTAAGATTGTTAATCATAAGTAATAGCAACAATTATAAATAGAACAGTGGCTGAGCCATCTTAAAATTTCAGTAAAAAGTGTGGGTTTCCTTTGGTTTTGCACAAGATTTATTTTTATAAAATTGTATACGTTTAATCATTAATATTACAAGTAATTAATATCAAATATGCATTTAGTTATCATTTAATTTCACATTATTTACTTTTTACTGCGCTATGTATGTATGTTGTTTTTTATAAATGTTTTTATTGCTGTCAAGGTCGATCGATTAGCTCGATATCGTGTTGAACTCTTCTGCAACTCTCCATTGATTATTGTTTATTTATTTATCAGAAGTTGCGGTTGTGTGTGGCAAAAATAAACGAAAATAAATAAAGTAAAAACTAGCCAAATGAAATGTGTGTGAAGATTAAAAAGAAACAGATGAGTGAGCGCGGAATTTGGGGGACTACAATCTGGGCAATTGTGCGTCTGGACATTTCCTCCGTATTCGTATCCCTAACATAATGGCAAAGGGCGCTGCTGAGCAAAGCAAGGACAGGGGACAGGGGATAGACGAGCACTAATAATATGCATACACAGTACATACATATATATTTAGTTTGATTTACAATTAATAATTTACAAATCGAGAAAACAACCATGGCTGCTAGAGAAAATCATCGTAATTCCATAAATACTAAAACCTCTTTCGAGAAGGAGGGCGCGGGCGGGTTGGATTGGATTGGATTGGCTGCTGGATCCGCTTTCAACTCGAGTTATATACGCGTATACTATATACTATACTATATATTTCGTACACGGTCGTCATATACTTTATTTAATAACTGTTTCATAATGCAATTCGTGTTCTATTCCATTTTCGGCGTGTTCTTGTGGGGTAGGTAGGGTAAGGGGGATTAGAGCTGGCTGCTGCTGATGTTTACGTTGATCCGCCTATGGTTCCTCTCGGCTGTCGCACACTCAAACCTAACAGGAGTTAAGAAAACTACTACCACATACACTATCGTAATTGTTACCACCATGCCGCATCAGTGCCGAGCGCACGTTGTTGCCACGTCAAAGCATACTGCACCTGGACAGCCAACTGTCCTTCGTCCGACTGTCCATCGGTTTCAGTTGATGGCCCCCCTTAGGCGGGTTGTTCGCCTCCTACATGGACAAGGGGACGGGGGTTAGGATTCGGATGTCCAAAGAAAAGAACGCTCTCTCTTTGTCTGGGGCACTCACCATGCGCTTTTCCGTTTTCGCTTTGATATCGCTGGCGAGGGTGAGGAAAGCTTCTTCCACATTGATGCTGGCTTTCGCTGAGGTCTCCATGAACTTGATGCCGTACTCGATAGCCAACTGTTCGCCGCGCTCCTTTGAAACCTGAAAAAGTTGAACATATCGAATAGAAATTAGTAGCAGTAGTAGTAGAGAGCATAACATTCATTCATAACATATTTTGGCATACCCTTCCCGAGAATGTTCTTATATAAATTATGTTTAAGTACTTTTTGAGTACGGTGTATTATTCTTTAGACCTGACTCACTGGCTTTTGAATGTTGTTAGTCAACTCATCAAAATTTACTGACCCCTCGCTGTGATAAAGACTCGTTTGAAACCTATGAATAGCCATTTGTTTTGGTTTATTTACTCACCTGTCGCTTATCGTGCAATTCGCACTTGTTGCCCAGCAGCATTTTTTCGACATCGGCGGAGGCGTTCTCTTCAATATTCCTGATCCAGTTCTTAATGTTCTCAAAGGACTTCTCCTGGGTTATGTCATATACCAGCATGATGCCCATGGCGCCTCTGTAATAGGCCGTTGTGATTGTGCGAAAACGCTCCTGGCCGGCAGTGTCCCTGTAAGTGAGCAAGAGATGTGTTATTAAACATCATAAAATATAGCAAATATTCCTTATCACTCACCATATTTGCAGCTTTATTTTCTTGTTATCTAATTCAATTGTTCTAATTTTAAAATCGATACCTGTTACCGAAAGAAAAGAGAAGAGAACACGGAGATACATCATTAATTCAAATAATTTGGCGAGCGGCGGCCGCCGAACCTGTTTCTTGTTTGCTCGAGCAACCAATGACGTCGTGGAAAGGCGCAAAGAGCGAACCACGCAATTGATTAAAACATTGTCTGGCCGTTTAAGTAAATAGCCCAAAATGGGAATTGGTGTAAGGGAAACGTGTGCCAAATACGAAAATAAACGAAAACTATAGCAAGTGCAAGGTACAGACTAAGTACATGCCATCTGAACGTTCTCAAGCCACTTTATCGTGCATATATTGAATAATTACACACTTAAATTTGGTGGGAATTGCATACTTGGGTGTGGAAGGCAAAGGATAATCCATCTCGATTGAATCTTTAACGAATATATAGTATGAAGCCCCATTGCTCCGTTCTTGGGGTATCAATCGGACCTTTTTAGTGATAAGAGTTCCACTCCCTCCAGTACAATGGGACCGGTCGCTTGGTAGCTCATATTTTGTTATTGTTCCTATATGCGGGTGTGTAGATTCCCTTGCCTTGGGTATTATAAAGATTGCTCTCTCTCTTCACAACAAAGCGAGCCAAGGGAAGCCCCTCCCTCCCTCCCTTGGTATAGGAATGGAATCCTTGGCGCGGTACACAATCATTATGACGAATGCTTGGACAGCAGCAACGGAAAGAAAAGAACGTTGGTTGGCTGGCACAACATGAGTCACACGGCCGCCTGAGCTGAGCCCAAGTTGAGAGAAAAATGTTGGTGCGATGTGAGTTCATGCGAACGACGGCGTCATAATTAATTAAAAATCAGCAAGTCGCCGCTGGATGGCTGGGGGAAGATGTGACCAATTACCTATTGTGGATATAAACGTCGTGTTGAAGGCGTCCTCCGAGAAGCGAAACAGGATGCAGGTCTTGCCCACGCCGGAGTCGCCGATCAGCAGCAGCTTGAACAGGTAGTCGTATGTCTTGGCCATGTTGACGGTTTAATGGGAGAGATCACAGTTGTTCGTCACAAATCCCGCGATGACAAGGGTTACGTTACGCTAATGATGTGGGTGGACACGTCGCCTCCTTCGTGTGCCTGGCTAATCAGTGGCCTCCGTTGCGCTCCGATCCGTTCCGTTTTATTGGACACTAATAATTACGCTAATGACAAATGTATATCCCATATGCGTGCTGTGCCGTCGAATATTCCTAGACGTAACCACAGTTTCGATGATTTTCTCTCTCTCAGTTCAGCGCTGGGTGTGTTTGTGTTTGTGTTTTCGACGTTTCGGAGCCGTGTCAAAAATGGCGACGTAGTTTCAAAACGCTTCTCTGTCCCGTTTTTCGCTGTTTCGCTCGCGCGGCCTGTCCGGTGAGAATCTGCAAGGGCGCTCGCGTCGCGGTGTGCGGGTGTGCTGCGATGTTGTTGTGGTTAGGACGTGCAAATTAAGTATAATTACTGCTTTCTAATTACGCCCGAATAAAAAAACTAGCAGCTGGGCTGTAGAGCTGTCAAAACGTCGATTACACTAGATGTCCACCACTAGCGATTGATTTTACACTATCGTGATAGTTTAATAATTTTATATTTGTTCTCTACACGTTTTTACGTCATTTCTACTGTAGATTGTTAATACCAAAAACAAACAATCGTGGTATATTTTTCCAGTATCAATTTAGAGTTGTGAAAAATATCGATGGCAGATACTAGTCTGCTTATCGGACCAGTTTTGATCAAAATACCACAACTATAGTGGTATATTTTGCAATATCAAATTAGTGTTGTGAAAATATATCGATAGCAGCTACTAGTCTTCCTATCGAACCAGTGTTGATCAAAATACCAGAAAAACTCAAATATTGTGGTATATTTTGCAGTATTAATTTAGTGCTGTGAAAAAATATCGATGACAGCTACCAGTCTGCATATCGATACGTAACCACTGGCGTTCAGCAACACTGTTGTTTTGTTTTGACCCCCGTAAGTGATGATAATTTGACAGTGAATTGGTTAATTGTGCTCCCGTTTCTGCTTCCGATACTGATTCCAATCAGACTAAAGTGCTTGTCGTTCTGCCCGCGTCGGTTAAGTGAACGTAAACAAATGTGAAAAGTGTCGAGAAACACAGGAGGAGCAGAATCCGAGAACCCGTCGCGTTGCACCCCCGCAAACAAAAATTCTTGGCACAAAATATGGGCACCAAAGAGTCCAAGCACTCGAACAGCATCAGCTACGAGGAGTCGGTGAAGCGAGGTAAGTCTTAGTGTAGTGCTGATCCTCCGGCTGGACCGAATTCCCTGGGAAAGTGAAAATGGGTCACACAGCTAATCAACGTCGCTTCTAGAAAACAGAACAACACCAACATACATACAGGTGTGATTGCGCTTTATCGATTCCTATTGTTGTTGTGCTCCCACGTTTGCTGACCGCTCCGGTGGTTCCACTGCCCACTTCCCAAAGGTGTTCCCTATTCCCTTTGCTTTTCTCCTGCAGTTTTTTGTGCATTCATTCTGCCATATTCCAGTATTCCCTAAACAGTACACATACATGGACAGCTTGCGCTCGTGTATGCATTGGTATTTGCGTCGCCCGCCGCCAGTGACGTCACAATAGAAAAGCTCAACGGCAGGGGTGGGTGTGTGTGGGGTGGCTGGGAGACAACAAAGCAGAGTAGCGACGCACAGAAGCAGTTAAGTAGCCAGGGCAAGCTTAGGGTTGCTGTAACTGCATTATGCGGACGCGGTTAATTTTCACAGTTTTGCATGTCATTACCCCGTTGCATTTTACTTTTAACATGCATACATATGTATATATATATGTATGCAAAGGTGTTGGAAATTGTGCAGTATTTCAGAATTAAATCACTTTCAAGTGCATTTTCCAGATAAGCAGAACTAAGGGAATATTTTTGGCGTTCAGCAAATTACAGTCAAACTTCTGTAAATTGAACTTTTTGAGCATATTTATTTAATTGTCAGATACTAATTATTCTTCCATTATTTTGGAATGTGACTGAAGCTTAACCTTAAGCTTAAGAATTCAGCGGAAAGCCACTTTTAGACCAAGCAAAATATTCTGCTTTAATCTGTAAGCAAATCGAATACTGATAAGTTCTTTTGGATAAAGTTTTTGGCATAATATTCACATCTTATGAATTCATATAATGAGAAACTTTACTGTATCTAAAGAGCTGCTAAGAAGGTATACACCTACACCATATCAATTGGAAATCAAGCAAGGAGTTAAGATTATTTTCGCACAACGGGAACTAGCCACCACCTTGGCAGACCCTCCCTCCAGCCCTCTACTTCTGCCCATCCCAATCCCAGCCCAATCTCTATGACGTCTCTAGCGCCTGGCTAGCAATATTTTCTGACTTACTTTACTTAACTTACCTTCACGTTGTTGCTCTGGCATTCATCTGGCTACTGTCGTTGTTATTGTTAGCGGTCGGGCAGGCAGTGAGAGTTAAGAAAACGAACGTTGTGCTGATAAGGTATATGTGCCCCCTCCCTGGCCTCCCCAAGCACCTGTCCGTCCGTCCGCCTTCTTCTTTCCTCCCCCAGAAGTGGGGCGCGCGACCAGGTGCGTGTGTTTCTTATTAGCCACACACGGGGAACGACCGGTTTTCAATAAAGCAACGCGACACAACAGAGAAGTGAGAAAAACGAGAGGGGAAAAAATAAATGCTTTGCATGCAAGAAGAGTCACAAATCGAATCCGAATACCGAAGCTGCAGTCTTGCAGTGGCAATGGCACTTGATTTTCCACAACAACAAATTCATTTCCGTGACGTCGCATATTTCATTCAATTTATTTTCACGTTTCACTTAAAGTTTGCGGATATCAGTTCGCCAATGTTCTTAAGTCTTATCTTTGAAATACGAAAAGTGAATTGATTGAGCATTTAATGGCCATTCTTATGGGGTTTGATTACTGACATCCTTAAAAATAAATACATTAATAATTTTAGCGGTTTAAAATATATGTTTCAATCTATAGATGTCTAGTTATCAAAATTAATAATTATTGGGGCTTTTACTTCAAATATTAATACTTTTCTAGTGCAAATTAATAAATAAATAATCTAATCGGAGACAGCTTAAGTCGAATTTAAAGAAATAGTATTGTTATTGTGTTAAGGAAAAACTAACTTTATTTAAAATTAAAACACTGAGCTAAGAACACTAGGGTTTAACTTCGGCGCGCCGAAGTTTGTATACCCTTTCAGATTGAAATTCGGGTACTAGGAATTAATACAATACAAATTATATAAATTGATGACTAATAAAACAATGGAGTAATGCCTGGTTTTATTTCAGTAACATTTTCATACTATATTTAAGGTTTTACATTCACAGTTTCGCATTTTCCTGTAGTGTCTGCTCCCGGCCAAGTCTCAGAAATGTGTTGTTAAAAAGTTGCAAGGCATTGTTTATTAGTGTTCAAAGTTAGTAACTGCTCATAGATACCTACTGGTCATAGATACTTACTGGTTATAGATACTTACTAGTTATAGATACTTACTGTTCAGAGGTAATTACTGATCATAGTTATTAACTGACCATAGCTACTTACTGATTATAGTTACTTAATGTTTATGATACTTACTGTTCAAAGTTACTTACCTCTCTTAGTTAATTACTGATCATAGTTCTTAAAATCGTCCGATTGTTCCTTTGTCAGCTATATATATGTATATATATAGTCCACCGATTTGGCATGCTCCGATTTATATACTCGTAGAATTATATAGAAAAATAAAGGCATAGTTTTATTTAAATAGCTTGCTCTAAAATTTTTCCAAATAACATCTCGCACATCTGAGCATATGATTCCCAACTGGTTCTCACATCCCCGGAACGAAGTGACTGCTGCCGGCCAAGTCTCAGAAATGTGTTGTGTTACAAAGTTAAAAGTCATTGTTTATTAGTGTTCAAAGTTAGTAACTGCTCATAGATACCTACTGGTCATAGATACTTACTGGTTATAGATACTTACTGGTTATAGATACTTATTGGTCATAGATACTTACTAGTTATAGATACTTACTGTTCAGAGGTAATTACTGATCATAGTTATTAACTGACCATAGCTACTTTCTGATTATAGTTACTTAATGTTTATGATACTTACTGTTCAAAGTTACTTACCTCTCTTAGTTAATTACTGATCATAGTTCTTAAAATCGTCCGATTGTTCCTTTGTCAGCTATATATATGTATATATATAGTCCACCGATTTGGCATGCTCCGATTTATATAGAAAAATAAATGCATAGTTTTATTCAAATAGCTTGCTCTTAAATTTGTTCCAAATAACATCTCGCACACCTGAGCATATGATTCCCAACTGGTTCTCACATCCCCGGAACGAAGTGACTGCTGCCGGCGAAGTCGCAGAAATGTGTTGTGTTACAAAGTTGCAAGTCATTGTTTATTAGTGTTCAAAGTTAGTAACTGATCATACATACTTACTGCTCATAGATACCTACTGGTCATAGATACTTACTGGTTATAGATACTTATTGGTCATAGATACTTACTAGTTATAGATACTTACTGTTCAGAGGTAATTACTGATCATAGTTATTAACTGACCATAGCTACTTTCTGATTATAGTTACTTAATGTTTATGATACTTACTGTTCAAAGTTACTTACCTCTCTTAGTTAATTACTGATCATAGTTCTTAAAATCGTCCGATTGTTCCTTTGTCAGCTATATATATGTATATATATAGTCCACCGATTTGGCATGCTCCGATTTATACACTCGTAGAATTATATAGAAAAATAAATGCATAGTTTTATTCAAATAGCTTGCTCTTAAATTTGTTCCAAATAACATCTCGCACACCTGAGCATATGATTCCCAACTGGTTCTCACATCCCCGGAACGAAGTGACTGCTGCCGGCGAAGTCTCAGAAATGTGTTGTGTTACAAAGTTGCAAGTCATTGTTTATTGGTGTTCAAAGTTAGTAACTGCTCATAGATACCTACTGGTCATAGATACTTACTGGTTATAGATACTTTCTGGATATAGATACTTACTGTTCAGAGGTAATTACTGATCATAGTTATTAACTGACCATAGCTACTTACTGATTATAGTTACTTAATGTTTATGATACTTACTGTTCAAAGTTACTTACCTCTCTTAGTTAATTACTGATCATAGTTCTTAAAATCGTCCGATTGTTCCTTTGTCAGCTATATATATGTATATATATAGTCCACCGATTTGGCATGCTCCGATTTATATACTCGTAGAATTATATAGAAAAATAAATGCATAGTTTTATTTAAATAGCTTGCTCTAAAATTTTTTCCAAATAACATCTCGCACATCTGAGCATATGATTCCCAACTGGTTCTCACATCCCCGGAACGAAGTGACTGCTGCCGGCCAAGTCTCAGAAATGTGTTGTGTTACAAAGTTGCAAGTCATTGTTTATTAGTGTTCAAAGTTAGTAACTGCTCATAGATACCTACTGGTCATAGATACTTACTGGTTATAGATACTTACTAGTTATAGATACTTACTGTTCAGAGGTAATTACTGATCATAGTTATTAACTGACCATAGCTACTTACTGATTATAGTTACTTAATGTTTATGATACTTACTGTTCAAAGTTACTTACCTCTCTTAGTTAATTACTGATCATAGTTCTTAAAATCGTCCGATTGTTCCTTTGTCAGCTATATATATTTATATATATAGTCCACCGATTTGGCATGCTCCGATTTATACACTCGTAGAATTATATAGAAAACTAAATGCATAGTTTTATTCAAATAGCTTGCTCTTAAATTTGTTCCAAATAACATCTCGCACACCTGAGCATATGATTCCCAACTGGTTCTCACATCCCCGGAACGAAGTGACTGCTGCCGGCGAAGTCGCAGAAATGTGTTGTGTTACAAAGTTGCAAGTCATTGTTTATTAGTGTTCAAAGTTAGTAACTGATCATTCATACTTACTGCTCATAGATACCTACTGGTCATAGATACTTACTGGTTATAGATACTTACTAGTTATAGATACTTACTGTTCAGAGGTAATTACTGATCATAGTTATTAACTGACCATAGCTACTTACTGATTATAGTTACTTAATGTTTATGATACTTACTGTTCAAAGTTACTTACCTCTCTTAGTTAATTACTGATCATAGTTCTTAAAATCGTCCGATTGTTCCTTTGTCAGCCATATATATGTATATATATAGTCCACCGATTTGGCATG